AGTGGGGACTACACCTGGGCATCGAAAAACATTACAACGCGTGGAAAATCTTCGACGTCGAGACAAAGGAAACAGTGGCAGCACGTGATGTCATTTTCTACGAGCGACTCACACTGCCGACGTACCTTGCCAACCTGGACAAGAACCGAGACCACACAGGTGGCTTTCGTGGAGATCGAGCCTTCGCTTCGGCAGGAGACGAAGCTGACTGGGACGAGCAGAACGTGGAAGGAGCCTCGGAAGAAGCCGGACCTCTCCCCTACTGCTCCGTTGATATCCCGATGGACGATTACGACAACCCTCGCGACAGCGTCAACGCCGAAGCCTATTATCACTTCGCCGACAACGGTTACGTTACACCTGCTGAAGTCAACACCAACGAAGCAGAACGTGTAGGACCCAGTTTCTCACCTGATCCAGAAACGGGAGACGAAGCAGTCTATCCCGAGGACACCACACTCCCCCGCTACACATAGAATGGACTCCATATCCTTGGACTCGTCACCGCAGTCCACGGCGCAGCCATTCCTAAGGAGCCTGCGACGGTTCAGCACGCTTTGGGGGGGGAGCATAGGGAAAAATGGCACAAAGCCATGGACAAGGAGCTGAAGGCATTAGAGGAGCGCAACACGTGGAAAGTTGTTCCCATCGGCGTAATGCAAAACAAGAGAATCCTTACCGGAAAATGGGTCTTCCGAGTGAAGACGAAAGCTGACGGCACCATCGACAAATTTAAGGCGCGCTGGGTCGTACGCGGTTTCGACCAAGAGCACGGACGCGACTTCACCGAAACCTTCGCTCCGGTCAGCCGCCACACCTCTCTACGCATTCTCCTTGCGATTGCCGTCATGAAGAAGAAGAAGCTGCGGCAAATCGACGTCGCGAACGCCTTCCTCTACGCACCTATCGACGCAGAGATCTTCGTGGAACTACCACACGGCTCCAGCACGGACTCCACACACGTCTGTCTGCTACTCAAGTCGCTCTACGGCATCAAGCAAGCTCCGCGGCTATGGCAACAATACCTACACGCTCGCCTCATCCGCATCGGCTTCAAGCAACTACCGCACGATCAGGGCATGTACCGGCTCACAAAAAAACACCGACTACATCCTGCTAATCGTCTACGTAGACGATCTCCTCTACATCGGCTCAACTGACGGCATCGCCGCCTGGTTCGAAGGGGAGCTGCAGCAAGACCTCACGCTCACGGTTTCATCTACCGTCACACAGTACCTCGGCCTCAACATTCGGGAAGAGGAAGACGCGATCTACCTCAGCGCCGCAAAATACGCCGACACTATCGCCAAGCGCTTCGCTCTCACACCGACCGCCATCTCCACGCCGTACCGCTACACGACAGGAAACAACAAGGGAGGATCCGCTCTACTCAAGCCTGCCGGCATACGGGACTACCAGAAGAAGCTGGGATGCCTCCTCTTCGCAGCTGTTACCTGCCGTCCCGACCTCTCATACTCCGCAAGCCAGCTCGCCACCTACCTCAAGAAGCCCGAAGCAGAGCATCTAGCGGAGCTCGACCGCGCTCTTCACTACCTCGTCAGCACCCCGACGATCGGCCTAACTTACTACAAGAACGCAACTACACAGACTAAGTTAATCGGCTACGTCGACGCCGATCATGCTGGCGACTCCGACAACAGACGCTCGCGCACCGGCTACATCTACCGCCTCGAACCTATCGGTCCTATCTCCTGGCAGTCGAGCAAGCAGGAGTTAATCGCCCTCTCCTCAGCTGAAGCAGAATACATTGCACTCTGCTCAGCCACCAAGGAAGGACTTTATCTTCGCGAGCTACTGGAAGAAGCAAAGTTAGCCGAGTTACCCAACTTCACCCTGTTCTGCGACAACCAGTCGGCAATTCGCATCGCCAACAAAAACGGCTTCGCGAACAGGACGAAACACATCGCCCTACGCTATTTCTTCGTAAAGGACGAGATCGAGAAAGGGAGACTCGAGCTGTCATATTGTCCCACGTCCGAGATGGCAGCTGACTATTTGACCAAGAAACTCGGAAAGCAGAAATTCGAGTACTGCATGCTGCTGACTGGACAGAGCCACGTCATCAGCAGCGACACTCCAGAAGCGAAGGGGAGTGTTGGAAACAATTAATTCTAAGCGCCTCTGTCGTGTCGAAACACTAAGGCACAATCGAAGCGAGGCATATCGAAGCACCAGTGAGTCAACCCTCGGAGGTTGAGAGGTTGCTGGAGGTTACGCGAAAGTCAAAGGTCAGCGACCTTTGACCTGACAAGTACAGCGCGACAGCAAGGACACACAACTGACTCGTTACAGAGCAGTTGCATGAGTCGTCAATGTATCGAACCGCAACAGCAACAGTAAAGTAGTTATAACTGTATCTCTCCATATCCCTTGTACTCTTATATAATATTGTATCTCCTTGTTTTAATTAATCTACTTTGCCCTCACATACTAGCGCAAGGTGGTTCAACTTCTTCATTAACGCTTCCGCTATTACATTGCTCCTACCCAGAGTTTACCATTGCAAAGATCCTAAGGGCTAATTCTCAACCCAACAAGCGTATCCTTTATTAGGTGTGTACACTTATGCAATTTAGGGGACTACACTTGAATTGGGGGGGGGGCTTATGTTTGAAGCGAAAAACACCCCGCTTCGCGCGCACGGCGCGTCAGAAGCGTCAGATATTGTATCTGAAACGGTTGGTGTGTCAGAACTCGAGTCTGACACAGATGACGTGTCAGAATTTGGATTACCATTTTTACCCGGCTAATAGACCCGGGGGTCTAATCCTATACCGGGGAAAAAATGGGGGGGGGGGGGTCTATTAACGGGGGGGAATTTTAATAGACCCGGGGTCTAATTCTGTATGTATCAGAGAGGTCACAATTTCGATGCCGCATCAGGAATATTTTGACCACGCACTGACGCGAGACAGGCACGTGGTCAAATGACCAGCCAGAACGGTCTTTGCGCTACCTCGATACTACCCGTCATACCCCGGATATACCCCCATGGGGGGCAATAATAAAACAGGTTTTTTTAGGGGGGGTGGGCTTATAATCGGGTAAATTTATAAGCGCCGGCCAGGGCCTCATATTCACTTATAGGGACGTTTAAGCATCAGGGTCCCTATGTGAAAAAGGCTGAAAATCAGTGTTCCATCTGAAAAAAAAATCTGAATTTTCAGGGTGTCCTAAAAATAAAATTGATTTTCACCCTCATGAAATCTTACGAAACATTACCAGCCGTTAGACTCGAAACGGAGATCTCACCCTTCGTTACGGAATTCCCTACCAACCAAGACATCACGCAACGGACTTGTGCAAATTTGACGGTTTAGTGACCAAAAACTAAAGAAATGGTTCACACCTAGTCATCTCGGGTGTTTTACAGCAGGGATTCGGAATGTGCATTCAGTGTACACTTCGATAAAAGGCTGGAAAATCAGTCCCCTTAGAGAAAAAAGTCTGAAAAATCAGTCCCTATAAAATCTGAACACTGAAAAATCAGTCTAGGTAAAAAACTTTACCCTGGAAATCAGGAATTTCAGGGTTTTTTTCCTGATATCTGAGGGCCTGGCGCCGGCGTTTATAAAACGACATAAACATTTTATATATTTTTTTAACACCAAGCTGTAGATCTCGTGCTTGCCTTTTTCAATCGAGTCGAAGTTCTGTGAAATTTCTCGCGCGCGCTGGAGATACACCCACTCTGACAGCTCCTGACAGCTTCTGACAGCTCCTGACTGCTCCTGCTGACTGGACCCGCATCCAGTGCAGGGTCCGAATGTGAAGGGAAGCGAATCTGCAACACATCCCCCTGCTAAAGTAGAAATCGTTACAGTGTTTCGAACACAATTCAAAATCCAAAGTTTACGAGCGCTTATAATAAAACAAGTTTTTTCAGGGGGGTGCGCTTATAATCGAGCACCGGATATAAGCGCCAGGCGCTTATCTGCGGGTGGCGCTTATATCCGGGGTATGACGGTATGAGTTTCGCTACAGTATTGCCAAATTTGAACTTTCTACAGTGGAGGAGGGTCTAATCCGGGATGCATTACTAAAAGGGGGGTCTATTACGAAAGTGGTGATCAGGCCCTCAGATTGGTTTTGGGGCTAGGCTGAAAAATCAGAGTTGGTACAAAAATTTACTCTGAAAATCAGAGAAAAATACCAATGTACACTAGAAACAAACAGCAATTTCCCGTTTTCCCTAAAAAAAAAGTCTGATAATTCAGCCTTGGTACAAAAAAAGAGTCTGAAAATCAGAATTTTTTTGCCAAATCAGAGAAAAAAGTCTGACTTCTGAGGGCCTGGTGGTGATAGCATTAGACCCGCCCCCATTTAACGACCCGGGGGTCTATAAATTTGGGGGGTCCATTAGCCGGGTAAATACCGTACCAGTATATGCCTCTAGAAGCTGACGCGCATATTCATTTTCAGCAGATGTATACTGAAAAGAGGGGTCTTAAAATTATTACGAGGCGAAAAAGGGTTCCTCTCACATTTGGTACATATTAAGAGTCCCTGACCCGAACAGAAGCCCCGGGGGTCCTTTTTTCGGGAGGGTCCTATATTCGGGAGAATACGGTACCTGCAGAATTTACGTTGTAGAAAATGGCACTGGGCCATCAGATAAGCAAGAAGAAAAACCCTGTCGAATCAGAGAACATCTACCTCTAAAACAAATTACCAGGAAACGTCAGAGTGACCTGAAGAAACCACTCCAATTTTCAAAGAAACAGAGCAATTTACTCTGCTAAAAAATCCCTTGACGGTAAAACAGGCCGAGTAAAACCAGCCCTGGATCCCCTTCGTCACTCCTACCACCCTCCTCCGCCCTCCTCCGCTCAGCGTGTAAACAAAGTCCTGTACATGTACTGTGTTTGGAGCAAAAGACGACGAGAATGCGCAAACTCGGTTAGGATCACCTCATTCAAAATGTTATGAATGAGCCAGACCCAGCTAGCACGGCAGATGCAGAGGCAGGCTGCAGGAGGTCAGTTGTCGCAGACTCCTTTCGCAAGCTTGACTTTGTCAGGCAGGCACACGCGGGTTGCTTTGACGAGCTTGTCGATGCAGTCGTATCCGTTGATGTGCTTGTAGCAGCCCTTGATGCCCCGGAAGTACTTCACCTGAATGGCTGTGCACCTGTCGCCTGTCCCCACCACATACGCATTCGCACGCGGGCACGTGCCCTGCGTGTACGACGTGGAGCTCGCAATGCATGCCTGGGGGGGATGGGGTTGGGGGCAATGGGGGGGAGGGAAGGCGAGTCAGGTATTGTAAGATGGAAAAAGATTGATCCACAAACATAGAGACGGGTGAGCTGATGCCACACACGCACCTCGAAGCCAGTGAAGCCATCAACATCAGTTTTGGGAAGGAGGCGGTTGCACTTGATACCGGGGTTGAGGCGGAAGAAGTCAACGGGGCTCAGAGGGGGGTAGGGCACATTGCGGATGGACTCGCACGTCTCTGCGCTCTGCACCAGGTAGTACTGCGAGCACACCGGGATGAGCCCCACTTTATCACTCATTCGCTCCACACACACCGCCTGCTCCGGCTGCAGCAAGCCGCCGTTGGCAGTGCAGTCCAAGCTGGGGTTGAGCGCCTGGAAGGCTGGCAGGCAGCTGTCAGATGGGCAGGACCAGTGCACTTTGAAATACACTGCTAAGTTCGCACAGGTGTCGCCCTGAGGACAAGGGAAAGAGGGTGAGGTTGAGGCAAGGGAACAAAGGGAGCGACAAATTGTGAGGGTGCCAAGCAAAGGGAGGTGAAAGATTGAGGAGGGAGATGGAGAGTGAGAGAGTGTGAGTGCCCTATTCAGCGGAGGTAGAGAGGTGACACGAATAGAAAATCTGAGGTTGGGAAATGAATATATTATGAAATTGCTGAACTGGGATGGGGCCATTGGGGGCCAAATTAAGACATAGGGTCGGAAATTGAGGAAGAGGAGCATATTGAGGAAAATGGAAAAGATGGTGTATAGGCAGGAAGGGGGCAAGAAGACAGGTGGGAGGTGGGGACCTGCTGAGTGGTGTAGTAGACGGAGCAGGGGGTGAGAGAGGCTGGGCTGGCCACTTTGAGAACAGTGGAGGGTGGGATGGGTTCTGCACACGACACCGATGGCTGCACACACCGAGGGAGAGGCATGAGAGATACGGCACACACCACGTAGGCATGTGAGACAGGATGGAGAAAATGACAGGGAAGACAACTGCTGATGAGGTGTGGGTGCAGGTGACGCACATTCTGGGTTTGGAACTGGGCGAGCGTGAGGCCGTAGACCGGGAAGACATCGGAGCAGCGGACGTTGGGAGAGAGCACGGTGTAGGTGGTGTTGGTGTCACCTGCATGCAGCCGCAAATGCAGCCCAGCATGCAACACAGCACGGAACATAGCATGAAACATGAAATATCACAGAGGCATCAACAGAAGAGTGTAAATGGGAGGCGCAGAACACAGCATTCTTTGTTGGGGGTGCTTATGTTAACGTGTATGTCAGCTATATAATTTAACGCACCTCCAAACCCTTCAGTACGGTCGGACAAAACATTCTAAACCATCATAGAATGTTATACTTGTAATATTATGTGTTTTTTTTCTTCGTCTTCTTCATTTCATTTTCTTTAACCATTATGTCAAACAGACGGTACCTGGAGCACAGGAAAAGGTGCCATCGACGGTGGTGCCCTGCCTGAAGCCCGGTGGACACACACACGAGTACGACCCCGCCCCGTCATTCACACACTGCCCCACCGCACACGGATTGCGCTGGGCTGCCTTGCACGCATCCTCTGATGCGGGGCGCGGTAGAGAGAGGGGACGGGAGGGAAAGGGAGGGAAGTGAGCTGAAAAGAGGGACAATGACGAACGGAACAAAGTGGCTGTGGTAGCAGAGGGAGGCGGTTTCAGCTTATGAGAGGTTGACAAATAGCATCAGGCGGCGGCGGCGGCGGCAGCAACAGCAGCAGCAGAGACTTACTGTAGGCGCATGTGCGAGAGCCATCGGCGTTGGTTGCTTGGATGAAACGCAGGTCGTTGCAGTCACACTCGTTTGTCTTGCCCTTGGCAATGCAGGGGAACTTGCCGCAGGGATTGAAGAACGAACCCGTGCTGTCATTGCGGGCGGCTATGCTGCAGGGGTCAGAGGTGCCTGCAGGTCGAAAGAGGGCGGGCAGGGAGGGCAGGGAAGCAATGCAGGTGTCTTCACATCGCAATATGTGCAAAAAATGGTTGTGCGGGATGAACTGGAGTGTACTCACTCATCCTTGACAGCGAAGCACTCACATTGATCTTATACCCTCCTGCAACAATTCACTCACCCACCACTTACGGTGCACACACTCACCTCTGACCACGGGGTAGAGGCCTGGCAGCGAGTTGATGCCGCACACGCCATCCCCCCCCTGGATGTCCATGCGCATGTGGCCCCCATCGCCCCAGTCAGGCCCCCATGAGTTGCGGATGATCCAGAAGGGCGGCGCCATGTGGGGGAAGCGCGAGTCCTTGCCCACCAGGCGGTACCCCACCAGCAGCACCACGTGGTTCAGGTTGTACGTGAAGCACGCTGGGTCCTGGTACTTGGACAGCTGGGGGGGAAGGATTGAGTGGGTAAGGCATGGCAAGGTAATTCTTGATTTGCCATTCACCTTTGTAAGGTCTGAAGTGCAGGAGGAAAACACACACACCTTCATTGAGACGAGCCCTACTATCATTCACACTCGCCTTACGATTCATTCATACATACCCTCCTGTTCAATAACACAACTGTCCGACGCACCTGTTCCACTTCTCGTATTTATCACAATACAGCACACCGCTGCACGCCTCACCCCATCATAGCTCTTGAACGAGTCGGCAGAAGCTTCAATGTGCACCACCACTGGCTGCCGCTGCACGGCCAGCAGCAGCCCAAACCAGCCGTAGAAGGACGTCGACTCAAAGCCGTTGATGGGGAACCCACCGGCTAGCTGCTGGGATATGCTTAACACAGGGTACGGAAGAGGATCGAAGCACAATGGGCTATAGCATGGAACAGCATGCAGGTGAGCATATGAGCACTCAGTATGAGAGAAACTTGGGCTCGGACTGGAGCAACAAAGAAAGCAGCTAATCCTGCCATGCTATGAGCTACTCTCAAGTACATGCAGCCCCACAGCCTCACTCACTCGTACGCTGCCGCTGCCCTTGCCACATGCCACACCAAACAGCTTCGCCAGTGGCTTCACAAGCGGCGCGCAGAGAGGACTGCTGCTGCCTGCTTTCACGGGAGTCTTGCCTTTCTCGGCAGGCCACTGACCCTCTGGCACGAGCCCCCCTCCCTTGCGTGCGAGCTTGAGCAGCAGCTGGAAGGCCTGAGAGGGCGTGCTGCCAGAGCAGCCGACCTTCATGGCGGCCTTCAGCTGCTCCACTGACAGCGGCTGCACGGCTGAGGTGTTGGCGAGAATGCTCAGCGCCGCCTCCACGCTGCCCACCACTGCGTACGCCCAGCAGTCGCCTGCCAGCAAAGGCATGGGTGGTTGGGGTTGCATAGAGGCCAGCTTAAACCGGCACTCCTTGGGCAGCCTAAATTTGGAATGCAAACCTCAAATATACGAGCAATTATAGATAGAAATGTTCATTAGAAGAGTGAGGGGACAGATATACACAGATTAGCGATCAAGGCGAGGTTAGTTGGTACCATTGCCATCAGAATTGGCCCCTTGGATGAAAAATATTCTAACTCCTGTTCATTTTACAACGCCAGCACCATCCGCCTCATGGCCTTTTTCCATGGTCAGGGCTTTATAAAACTGAACAGGTGTTGGAACACCTGAACAGACCGGCGATTTCTCCCAAATCTGCACAGATCTGCGGTTTTGCCCATAGCTCTGCACAAATTGGCGATTTTGCCCATAGCTCGGCACAGGTCGGCGGTTTTGCCCATAGTTCTGCACAGATCGGCGGTTTTGTCCATAGTTCTGCACAGATCGGCGGTTTTGCCCATAGTTCTGCACAGATCGGCGGTTTTGTCCATAGCTCTGCACAAATTGGCGGTTTCGCCCACCGATCAGATGTCGCCACTAACTGAGTGAGCAAAGCCAGGCACCCCCTCCTCCCCGTTTCTATTGAAGCAGAAAAAACTCCAACCGATTCGCCGCTGCTTACCACTCGTCACTGCACTGACTGAATCTACAAGATTCGACCCTTCCATACCATTTCACAGATCTCGACATGAGCTCAGCCCAAACCTGGCGCCATCCTTCAGCTCATAGCTGCTACACTTCACCAAAATGTTGAGTTTGGTGGCTACTTTAGTCCTAACAGTACTAAACAGTCCCGACCCGACATCTAGGGTCACAGTTCGACCCGACCCCGCCAGGTACACCCGCCCCGGCACGGCCGGGTCAACGATTGTGTAAGGTCGGCCCGACCCAAGCAAAAACACGGCCGGGCAGGGTCAACTCAACCCAACCTGGCCGCGCACTTTGCTCGCCTCACTATGGAAAATCTTAATTGTACACCCAAACTAAGTTTGAGTGCTTAACTCCACCAACTCGAAATAATTTGACAAATTGGTGCAGGCAACCTCGGGCCTATGATTTGACCAAAGGCCAGACATGGGTCGAACCGCGGGCTGACCAGCTTATTTGAGGCAGCCTTGCTCGGTTCGTGCTCATGCATAGTAGTGTGGGTGTCGGGGTACTTATCGCAAGTTGTCTGTGTCTTGACAGGCCACGTGAAGTTTGGACTGACCCATAAAACTGCAAGGTGTTGTCGAGAAAAGGCCACATCGTCGCTTGGGCAAAACCGACCTCTGCCGGCGTGGAAGGTGTGCAGCCGGCTACGCTTCGTGGTTGACGCTGACTTGGAGGAGCAAGTTGGCTTGGTTGGCCGACTTCGGCGGTAGATCGCCTTGGGCGAATCTGACCTGGCGAAGACGACTTCGGGCAAAGTCGGCGTATCGAGGTCAACTTCAGGCGCAGCTGACTTCGGCGGAGCTGACTTGAGCAAAGCCGGCCACAGCAAAGCTGTACTTCGACGGAGCCGACTTTGGTGAGGCCGACTTCAGTGAAGCCGGCTGGGCGCTGACCGACGAAGAGAAGTCGGCGGACGGTGTCCAGCCTCGACGGCCAACAAAGGTGGTCGTCGACGTGAAGTCGACCTACGAGCACCGAAGTTGGCGTCGACTTAGCTGTCTCTTCTGGTCGACCAACTAACCTAGTCGACAAAGTTCTGCGGAGAAGCGCGAACGTCGTCCTGGTGGTTTTCGCGAAGTCGACCTGCGTGTCGGTAGCACGAGGTTGACGTGGCACATATGAGAGCAATCGTGGACATGTGGCCGACCTGAGCACATGCGCAATGTGTTTGACAGGCAACTGTCTACCTGCACCTCGCAGTTATGCACCCGTGCCTCCACAGACACCTGCGGTTGCAACGCTGACAAGCCGCCTTGCTGTAGCGTTGGAGAGCCGCTCTGGTGCAGCGCTGGCAAGTAGCCATTCTGCAGCGGTAGGAAGTCACCTTCGTGCTGCGTTGGCAGGCCGCCAAGGTGCGGGGCTGGCAAACCGCCCTCGTATTAAGCTGGAGATCGACGTGCTTGTTCGCTAGGTTGTTAGGCCTCTGATGTAGTAAACCTTTGACATTGCCATTATAACATTGTTCTCGACTTTTTTGAGTAAAATTCTTGTCAATTTGCCCTGTGAACACACAAGTAGAGAGAACACGCATTCACTTGTACAACCCCGTATTCCCCTCGTAGTTCAACACCCGTAGTAGAGTCACAAGTGTGGGCCGGCACTTGCTCGGTCCGTGCTCATGCATAGTAGAGTGTGTCTAGGGGTACTTACCACAAGTTGTCTGTGTCTTGACAGGCCACGTGAAGTTTGGACTGACCCATGAAGTTGCAGGGCGCACGCCATACACGTCATTGCCATTCACAGCAGCAACACTGCCCGAGCTGGCATAGCGGAAGAAAAGATTCATTCCCGACAGAGAGAGCGCCGCCTCGCTGAAGGTGAAACCCAGCGCTGCGTCTGTGATCGAGGACAGAGGACACGGTAGACACAATTATAGTTGCTGACTGAGGGAACAAGTGTTCAAAATTGCAACTCTATTTATTCTATTGATTCTGTTAGAAAGCAACCGAATCACGCACGCCTTACCTGGAGTTGGCTGGACAGGGAAATCTGCAACAAAACGCATAAGAAAAAACATCCCAACAAAAAGTTGAGTTAGGGTTGCTTTCATTGATCGTAAAATTCTTTCTACAATGGACTGAAGGGACAAGAGTGCACTCGGCGACAAAAGTGATAGGATGGATGGATGCATGGGTCCACTCACAGGTGGAGAGGGTCCAGGCGGAGACGACATGGCTTTGAGGCTGGTTGGCGGAGGCAGCAGTGAAGCCGATGGCAAAGGTGTACTCCGATGGGGAGGGGGCGAGCTCCTCACACAGGGAGATGCGTGCCGACAGGAGGGGGGTGGTGGGGCGAGGGGACGCTTGGGAGGAGAGAAAGACACGTAGGGAGCCATCAGAGGAAGGGTCGTAGTCAATCCACACGTGCTTAAGCTTGCCGTCATTGAGAGGGGTGCTGGGCTTGGCTGTGACCACTGACGTGGCATTGCCGCCGGTGTTGATGCCCACGTGGTTGCTGTCAGGGTCGCTGTTGCCTGCATCCATCGACGTGTCAAACTCCACTGCCACGCTGCGCGCTCCCATCCCCGCATACCCCATGCCGCCCGCCACCGGTGTTGTGGGCGGGGTGGCATCAAAGGCCACCACAAAGGCAAAGCCTTCGGAGCCGGAGGCAGCAGGGCGGGTGAGAGTGAAGGAGAAGGAGGAGGAGAAGGCGAGCTGGCGGCCGCAGGAGTCCCCGATGAGCTGGTAGGAGAAGAGCGGCACGCGCGCTGCCAGGAACACACTGCCAGCCTTGGACGGCTGGGCGGGCGTGAGAGTGAGCGTGCCTCCATTCACTGATGCGTCGCCTCTGGCTGTGAGAGTGGCTGCTGTGGGGGTCAGTTGCTGTTCTGTCTTACCACCTGGAAGTGGGGCGCAAGAGATGGTTGCGGGTGGGAGAGTGTGCTCCCAAACTTGAAGGGGGAACTTGGCGCTTAGCAGGGGGTATCAGCTCAGTAAAAAAAAAAAAGCACGAGAATGTATGCTTGGCAGGAGTACAAGTAGATTGGAATAGAGACAAGGCAACACATAATGCTTGCTCAGGCTGTGAGTGGCTCACCTGCCACGGCCACGCAGCTGCCAGGGAACTCCCCAACCACGTAGTTATCGTCACAGAGGCATGTGGGCGTGTTGCTGGGGCCGTCCAAGAAGCACACGCCATGGCCGTTGCAGGCGGGCACAGGAGGGGAGGCGGTGCCGTTGACGCCGCAGAAGGCAGTGCAGACGGGGTCAGTCTTTTGAGTCTCGTCCGCACCACACGCAAGGCCTGCAGCTGGCGTGGCTGCACAGTTGCTGCGATACGTGATGTAGCGTTGCGTGCATGGCGGGGGGGAGGAGAACCCCTGACTCAAGTAATTGTTGTCCAGCTTGTATGTTGTCACCCACCGTGGCACGGGCTCAAGGACCTTTCCCGTGAGCAGATTGTTCCTCAGATTGCTGGTGATAGACATGGACAGACAGGGAATGGAAGGATGGGGATGTTGAAGACAAGTAACAAGGAGCCATGGGTAGCGATGGTGAAAGATGGTGGTCATTACTTAGGCGAGATTACAAGGAAATAGAGTTGCTTGAAGTGAAACCCCAACTGAGCCTAAGGCTCCTCCACTTTAGGAAACAAACTAGGAAATGAACCTCAACTGAACCGGAAATGAACCTCAACTGAACCTGAAATGAACCTAAGGGTAAAACTGACTGACATATTATTCAAATCCAGAAAGGAATGCAAATGCCAGCCAGCCTACTCAAACAGGGAAATGTGAGGATCAGGGATGGAAGCACGAGGAATAAACGAATAGGGAAATGGAACGATGGGGGTTGACAGAATAGGGAATGCGAACCAATGCAGGACAGCGAACGAGAAAGGAGCAAACACTCTCGCATGGCTGTAGTCTGGGAGAAAAACGGGAAGAAGAAAGCAACTATACTGTTGGAACCATGACAAGACAACTAAGTAGGGGGCGTATGGGGACCTCACAGAGTGTCTAGGTAGGCACAACTAGAGAGACCTTGTGGTATGGTGCCAGTAAGGCGGTTGGAGCTTAGGTCCCTGGATATAACAAGGAGGACAGGAGGTGAAGACTGAGAAAACAAAAGGAAGAGTGGTTTGGTTGATGAAGACATGAGTACAATGCAATGGTCGATCCACATCTTGGCTAGGCTTGCTCGGCCGGTTGACATGGCAAGCCGGGCCTCGACCTGTGAGCAAGCCGGCTTGATTCGCGTGAATGACGAACCAACTCAGCAGCCTCAAGGTGAACCGGCTCGGCTTGGGCCCTCGCCCGGGTCAAGGCTATCAGGTAGCCGAACAGGCAAGGGTCATATGCTCGGGCCCATTGAATGGAGAGGGACAAGGCCCAGCAGCTGAAGTGCACACACTAAGATAGAGAGGGAATAAAATGGCGACGTTGGTGGTGCAGTGATGGCAAGAAAGGAGTGAGGAAAAGTATGAGAAAACGAGCGAAAGAGGAAGACATTAAGTAAAGAGAGAGAAACAAAGTTCAACTGCACACGCATCTCCATGGAAAACGCAAGTATGTGTCGTTGGTGACACACATAGATGGAACGAACTATGTGAGCCTTACAGCAGTGTGAGCCTTACAGCAGTGTGAGGTAGACCAAGCCTGTTATACCGTTTGGTATAGTTCCAGTGAACAGGTTGTCACTGAGGTCACTGGGGGAGGAGAAGAGACGTAAGACACGTGAACGGGCTGGTCAACCGAAAATAAAATGCATTCAAGGAGGCTCAGGCAGCAATGGGAGATGAAATAGAAGTGAAGAAATAGCTTGCAAGTGAGTGGCGGGAGGTGGGGAAGGAAGGGGAAAATGGGATGCAGAGACGGATGCAGATGGGCAATGTGCGCATGGGATGGTGCAGGCACGGGCAGGAGCAGGGAGAGGCACAGAGCGTCTTAAACAACGTTGCAGATGTACTTCGCATTGCAATGCATGGGGATGCAGTGCGACATTCTAAAGCCGGAGGTTGCCTGTTCTGACAGACACGTGGTGCGGTGTAGTGCGATGCATCATGAGCACAAAAGAAGCAGATCTTGTTTTGGTTGAGCCTGGATGAGACCACGACACACCAGCTGAGCCAGTTCTGGTTCAGTTCGAACCGGTTCTGGTTCAAGTTGGTATCAATCAAACTGGTTCTGGTTCGTTTCTTGCTCGTGCCCAAATCCATGCTCGATGCCTTTCCTCAATGCTGCTCAAACACCAGTACTGGCACGAATTTGTGTTTCCTGCAAAAGGAAACTCTAAACCAGAGTAGATGTAGTAGTGGAGCGGGAAGGGTACATTTGACGGTTTGAACAGGGCTATGTTGCGGAAGACGCAAGACGCGTCTTGCGTCTAGCGTCTAGACGCTAGACGCAAGACGCACATTTAGACGCTAGACGCTTGGGCTAAAATTGTTTGGGCAGCCTGGAAAAAAAAATATGGGAAAAAAGTTATGGTACGGGGAAAATTTCACCCAATTGTGACATATGTGCATGTCCCCCACCCTCCCCATGCCCGACAGAAGTTTTTTTAGGCTGCCCAACCTTTTTTTGGCCTGCCTGGGCTTTCGTCTAAACCTGCGTCTAATCTGGTCTAAATTGCGTCTAGCGTCTTAGACGCTGCGTCTAGACGGACGCGTCTAAGACGCTAGACGCGTCTTCCGCAACATAGGAACAGGGTGGCCCCGAAAAACAACCTTTTGACAGAAACGAGCAGCGCAATCTATGGTCACACTGATGACTCAGAATGAGCTGATTCCCACCAAACGAGCTGAACAGCTGGCTCATGTAGTTGGCTGATGCAGCTGGTGATGCGGTGCAGCATTCCCATCCGTGTGTGCATGATATGCCGCGTGGCATGTACACTGACATAACAGACATACCCCTATAGAGGTCACACATGAAAGCACACACGCCTACCCTAAAGAAAGAAAGAAAGAAGGGAAGGAAGGAAGGAAGGAAGGAAGGAAGGAAGGAAGGAAGGAAGGAAGGAAGGAAGGAAGGAAGGAAGGAAGGAAGGAAGGAAGGAAGGAAGGAAGGAAGGAAGGAAGGAAGGAAAGAAAGGAAGAAAGAAAGAAAAAAGAAAGAGAGAAAGACGAACAGCGATTGGAGATTAGTTGCCGTCCACTGTATAGGAAGTGGGCCACTGAATGTGTTGTGCGCCAAGTTGCTGCGGGAGAATGCGTGGCAAGCGAAGGGAAGAGAAGGGTGAGAACGGAGGGGTGAATATATCAGAACGAAAGCAAATATGTTCATCAGGAGATGTGGGTGAGCAATGTGTATCCCGATGTAGCTATGGCAGGACGCGGGTGGGAGGCCACCCAATAGACAAACATACATGAGAAGTAGTGAAACTAGTTATGGAAGGATTTCAACACACAGCGAGCAGGATCGCACAGGCTTAAAGGTACGAGCGACGAACTAGTCAAACCGACTGGACAACAAGAAGGAGAGGCGCATGGGTCCGCAGAATGCATGCATCCCATCCCATTAATTTTGCACACCGCTTGGCCAATTTGGGCATCACATAGGTCGATCACGTAAGCAGAGTGTGCAGTTTGACGGTCCATTTGCTCCAACAGCTTGGGACTCAGCAGATCTCAACAGGCGATTTTGAATGAGCAGGAGGGTTGAGAGGGCTAGAAGGAAGGTTGAATAATGAGCAGCACACTCATGTGTGCGCTACCATGCCCTTCTGCCACCATGCCCCATACACCATGCCTCATACACCATGCGCCATACCATCTCCCATGCACCATGTCCCGTCCCATGTACCATCCCCATAACAAGTAACCCACGAACCAAAACCCTTTACCACATGCACATGCCTTATGTGCACTGTGCATGCCATGAGTCCACGACCATGCTCCATCCATCCACCCTGTGCCTCACAGTGTGTTTAGTGAGGTGATAGTGCCCAGGTCAGAAGGGAGCGACCCACTCATATCATTGTTCTGCAGCTCACTGCCAGGCAAGGCAAAGGGTGCAGAGGCAATGGGAAAGGACAGGTGCAGAAGCATAGGGGGGAAGGAGAACAGTGTCGCAGGAGAGGGAGATAACGAGAGGGATGGAAGGGTCATATGAGGAGAAGAGGAAGATCAGCGTCGATTAAAAAGGGAAGGCAGTCGTTTGCCGACTAGCGAGGAAACTCGTGCAGCAGTGAGGCAGTGATGAAGCGCCTGCCCTCTCTTGATCTGCCACGTCTCCAGTTAATCGTGCATATGTGGCCCTAACAAACGCTTGGCCCAATGTTTCTATCACACAGAGCTGAGGGAGAAGTAGCAACTGGGAAAAAAAAAAGCACACACACACACCAAAAAAAAAAAAACAGAAACACACGCACACACACACACACACACACACACACACACACACACAAAAGCACACACACACACACACACACACACACACACTACGCACTCACACACTCACTTACACACGCACTCACAGACGTGCAAACAAACAAGATTGGCATCAGCGGGTTGCATGCACGGCACTCAGCTGAACTGCAACGGCGCCTGGCCCCGTCCGTGCCACGAGACCTCCCAGTTGGGCCCAGGCCAACCCCTAACTTGGTCCTACGCTCATGCCATGCCCATGGCTCAAGTTTAGCAGCTGGCTGGGTGACACGGGGGCATGCAATGCAAGGGGCTCACAGGAAACGGAGATTTGTCATGGTTGTTAGAGTCGAAGGCAGGGAGCCTGATATTTGGTTGTCATTGGCACGGCTGGGGTGATGGTATCAACAAGGCACGGAACAAAGCTGGGGTTTGAAACGAAGAGGAACACATGGCGAGAAAAGAATGGTGATGCATTTCTTATGGTTTGGATGGATGGCTGGGTAAGGTTGGGGTGTGAAGCGGAAGGAACAAAAAGGGTGAGTGACAGCCATATGTCTCCCCGGAAACGACCGGGCAAAAGGCGATCACAACAAGCAAGGCCACAGAGAGGGTCCCGAATCGTGCGTGGAGGAGGAGGCACAGACTGAGAGCATGAGAAAAGAAGAACTCACAAAATGAATAGTTTGGAGACACTCCCAAGTGCGTCTGGTAGAGGTCCCGTAATCTGGTTGTTGTCAATCTTGCTGATGGAGGGGTGATGTGGTGGAAGTTCAGAAAGAAAGCAGCTTGTTTCAGATGAGACGAGCCTTGCATGAGTGAGTGCCGTGGTGGGAATGAGTGCCATGGGAAGAAGCAACGCATTGACCCGTCTTACCCAGTAAGGCAGTTCATCAGCCTTGTATGAGTAAGTGTCGTGGTGGGAATGAGGCAGTACCAACCCGTCTTACCCATGAGCACAGTACCAAACCATCTTAGGCAGCAGAATAGTGCCAACCTATCTTAGCCATGAGCATAGTACCGAACCGAATTAGGCATGCATGAGCATAGTGCCAAAGCGTCTTAGGCAGTAGCATAGTATCGAACCGTCTTAGTCAGGAGCATAGAATCGGTCAAGGACTGGGATGGGTCAAGGAAACAGCCCCCCACGGGCCCTTCAAAACCAAATAATCAGGCTGGCCTGGGCCAAGTTTTCAGCAGCACAGCATGCAGGCGGGGCGGCAGGGCCAGGGTTGAATGACAATGCCTACGTATGAGCCATGCAAGTGCGTTAGACTTCGAACCGCACCGCACCATATCAACCCTATGGTTGGCTGATGCCACCAGCTTTAAGACCATGAAGTTCTGCACGAATGGATTGCTTGGCTAGTGCAGGCTGGAAATGACGGTGCAGCAGGCCGCCTTACAATGTGTTTAGCGCAGTCAACTTGGTGAAGGATGATGGGATTGACCCTTCCAACTGGTTGTAGTGCAATTGCCTGTTTTGAAGAAACAATGTGCAACGGCAAGGCGAGGTATCAGGAGGATGTGGGAGAGTGGTTATAAGCGGACAGTGGACGTCGCGGGTGGAGGGGGGCGGAGGCTCGTGCTGTGACATACTGCACATACTGCAGTTGAGTGCATGACTACTTTTGCTGATGCATTGCATGTGATGTGTGTATGCCTCTGACAACCAAGAGTGCTCCAAGAACATGCGGGTAGGGAGGGAGAGGATGAGATATACAGGGCGAGCTTGGTGAGAAAATGAAACGACGGCACGAGTTTAATGGGAAAGAATGTTGTAGGGGGGGGGGGAACTGGAGGGAGTTGGAGGGCGTGTGAGGAGTGGTTGCAGGGCTTGCAGCAGGGCAGTGAGAGCGCCGATGCCCTGAGGCAGATTGTTTAGTCGCCAGAAGGTAATCCTTACAGTAGCTGCAGGGCAGTGAGGGCGCTGATGCCCTCAGGCAGGGACCCACTGAGCTGGTTGCGATTCGCATCGCTGTGTGGTGGTGGGGCAGCATGCAAGAAAATGCAGGGCATGCAATGGGATGCAAGGAGATGCAAGGGGATGCACGTGTTGCAAGGGGATGCAATTGGATGCAAGGAAATGCAAGGCGATGAATGGCATGCAAGAGGATGAATGGCATGCAAGAGGATGAATGGCATGCAAGGCGATGAATGGCATGCAAGAGGATGAATGGCATGCAAGAGGATGAATGGCATGCAAGAGGATGAATGGCATGCAAGAGGATGAATGGCATGCAAGAGGATGAATGGCATGCAAGAGGATGAATGGCATGCAAGAGGATGAATGGCATGCAAGAGGATGAATGGCATGCAAGAGGATGAATGGCATGCAAGAGGATGAATGGCATGCAAGGCGATGAATGGCATGCAAGAGGATGAATGGCATGCAAGAGGATGAATGGCATGCAAGAGGATGAATGGCATGCAAGAGGATGAATGGCATGCAAGAGGATGAATGGCATGCAAGAGGATGAATGGCATGCAAGGCGATGAATGGCATGCAAGAGGATGAATGGCATGCAAGGCGATGAATGGCATGCAAGAGGATGAATGGCATGCAAGAGGATGAATGGCATGCAAGAGGATGAATGGCATGCAAGGCGATGAATGGCATGCAAGAGGATGAATGGCATGCAAGAGGATGAATGGCATGCAAGAGGATGAATGGCATGCAAGGCGATGAATGGCATGCAAGAGGATGAATGGCATGCAAGAGGATGAATGGCATGCAAGAGGATGAATGGCATGCAAGGCGATGAATGGCATGCAAGAGGATGAATGGCATGCAAGAGGATGAATGGCATGCAAGGCGATGAATGGCATGCAAGAGGATGAATGGCATGCAAGAGGATGAATGGCATGCAAGAGGATGAATGGCATGCAAGAGGATGAATGGCATGCAAGAGGATGAATGGCATGCAAGAGGATGAATGGCATGCAAGAGGATGAATGGCATGCAAGAGGATGAATGGCATGCAAGAGGATGAATGGCATGCAAGAGGATGAATGGCATGCAAGAGGATGAATGGCATGCAAGAGGATGAATGGCATGCAAGAGGATGAATGGCATGCAAGAGGATGAATGGCATGCAAGAGGATGAATGGCATGCAAGAGGATGAATGGCATGCAAGGCGATGAATGGCATGCAAGAGGATGAATGGCATGCAAGGCGATGAATGGCATGCAAGAGGATGAATGGCATGCAAGGCGATAAATGGCATGCAAGAGGATGAATGGCATGCAAGAGGATGAATGGCATGCAAGAGGATGAATGGCATGCAAGAGGATGAATGGCATGCAAGAGGATGAATGGCATGCAAGAGGATGAATGGCATGCAAGAGGATGAATGGCATGCAAGGCGATGAATGGCATGCAAGAGGATGAATGGCATGCAAGAGGATGAATGGCATGCAAGAGGATGAATGGCATGCAAGAGGATGAATGGCATGCAAGAGGATGAATGGCATGCAAGAGGATGAATGGCATGCAAGAGGATGAATGGCATGCAAGAGGATGAATGGCATGCAAGGCGATGAATGGCATGCAAGAGGATGAATGGCATGCAAGGCGATGAATGGCATGCAAGAGGATGAATGGCATGCAAGGCGATGAATGGCATGCAAGAGGATGAATGGCATGCAAGAGGATGAATGGCATGCAAGAGGATGAATGGCATGCAAGAGGATGAAAGGATGAATGGCATGCAAGAGGATGAATGGCATGCAAGAGGATGAAAGGATGAATGGCATGCAAGAGGATGAATGGCATGCAAGAGGATGAATGGCATGCAAGAGGATGAATGGCATGCAAGAGGATGAATGGCATGCAAGAGGATGAATGGCATGCAAGAGGATGAATGGCATGCAAGAGGATGAATGGCATGCAAGAGGATGAATGGCATGCAAGAGGATGAATGGCATGCAAGAGGATGAATGGCATGCAAGAGGATGAATGGCATGCAAGAGGATGAATGGCATGCAAGAGGATGAATGGCATGCAAGAGGATGAATGGCATGCAAGAGGATGAATGGCATGCAAGAGGATGAATGGCATGCAAGAGGATGAATGGCATGCAAGAGGATGAATGGCATGCAAGAGGATGAATGGCATGCAAGAGGATGAATGGCATGCAAGAGGATGAATGGCATGCAAGAGGATGAATGGCATGCAAGAGGATGAATGGCATGCAAGGCGATGAATGGCATGCAAGAGGATGAATGGCATGCAAGAGGATGAATGGCATGCAAGAGGATGAATGGCATGCAAGAGGATGAATGGCATGCAAGAGGATGAATGGCATGCAAGAGGATGAATGGCATGCAAGAGGATGAATGGCATGCAAGAGGATGAATGGCATGCAAGAGGATGAATGGCATGCAAGAGGATGAATGGCATGCAAGAGGATGAATGGCATGCAAGAGGATGAATGGCATGCAAGAGGATGAATGGCATGCAAGAGGATGAATGGCATGCAAGAGGATGAATGGCATGCAAGAGGATGAATGGCATGCAAGGCGATGAATGGCATGCAAGAGGATGAATGGCATGCAAGGCGATGAATGGCATGCAAGAGGATGAATGGCATGCAAGGCGATAAATGGCATGCAAGAGGATGAATGGCATGCAAGAGGATGAATGGCATGCAAGAGGATGAATGGCATGCAAGAGGATGAATGGCATGCAAGAGGATGAATGGCATGCAAGAGGATGAATGGCATGCAAGAGGATGAATGGCATGCAAGAGGATGAATGGCATGCAAGGCGATGAATGGCATGCAAGAGGATGAATGGCATGCAACGCGATGAATGGCATGCACGAGGATGATTGGCATGCAAGGCGATAAATGGCATGCAAGAGGATGAATGGCATGCAAGAGGATGAATGGCATGCAAGAGGATGAATGGCATGCAAGAGGATGAATGGCATGCAAGAGGATGAATGGCATGCAAGAGGATGAATGGCATGCAAGAGGATGAATGGCATGCAAGGCGATGAATGGCATGCAAGAGGATGAATGGCATGCAAGAGGATGAATGGCATGCAAGAGGATGAATGGCATGCAAGAGGATGAATGGCATGCAAGAGGATGAATGGCATGCAAGAGGATGAATGGCATGCAAGAGGATGAATGGCATGCAAGAGGATGAATGGCATGCAAGGCGATGAATGGCATGCAAGAGGATGAATGGCATGCAAGGCGATGAATGGCATGCAAGAGGATGAATGGCATGCAAGGCGATGAATGGCATGCAAGAGGATGAATGGCATGCAAGAGGATGAATGGCATGCAAGAGGATGAATGGCATGCAAGAGGATGAATGGCATGCAAGAGGATGAATGGCATGCAAGAGGATGAATGGCATGCAAGAGGATGAATGGCATGCAAGAGGATGAATGGCATGCAAGAGGATGAATGGCATGCAAGAGGATGAATGGCATGCAAGAGGATGAATGGCATGCAAGAGGATGAATGGCATGCAAGAGGATGAATGGCATGCAAGAGGATGAATGGCATGCAAGAGGATGAATGGCATGCAAGAGGATGCAAGCAGATTTGCAGCTGGGCCACAGCTGCCGCCTACTGACAAGCCGAGCCGGGAGGGTCATCACATGGCCGGCTTGTCGCAAGGCAAAGGTTTCCAGTTCGGATCGTGGCTTGTGATGACGCGAGCTGCCACGAGTTTATTGTATAGGCTCACAGAACGTGTGATGTGAGGGTGGCCCGAGCCGTTCTCTTTGCCGATTCGATAGGGTGCTGCGGGCGTGCTGCAGCAACACGGCCATACTAGCAGTAGCTGGCTGACGGAGTCACGGAGGAAGGGGAATCTCACAATTCCTTTAATAAAACGAGTTTGGAGATGGTAGATGGGAGTGATCCCGATATGGAGTTGTCTTGTATATAGCTAAGTGGGATTGGAGGAGGCATGGCGAGGGAGGGAGAGCATCGGTGAAGAGTGGGAGAGTAAGAAAGAGAGGCAAGGCATGGGAGGGTGATAAGACGTATGTGTGTGAAGAATGGATAAGGATGAAAGGGATAGGGGAATGATGCGGAGATCATATGACGCTTCAAGCTAATCAAGTGTCTGACTTGAATCGCCAGTTTGACTCCGATTTGTGGTCGATTCATTTCACTCTTGATTCATGTAAGATTGACTTCCATCATGCCACTTCTGTGTGGTGTGGTGGGCACATAATCAACTCAACTGCACCCAATGCTCTGCCATTGTTACTTTGCAGCGTCAATGCATCCTCCCCAAACAAGGAGTCCTTCCAGTTCCTGCATCTTTTGGGCTCTGCACTCCGCTATTTTTGAGTTGACTCAAAAGTAGACTCATCAAACAAGGAGTCCTTCCAGTTCCTGCCTTTTTTTTTGTCGATTTAAAATAAAAACTTCCATTTCCTGCTTCTTTTGGGCTCTGCTTCTTTTCAAACCCGGACCTGTATCAAAAGTCTCCTTCCAATTATCGCCCCCTTCGTAACCACCTATTTACTCATTTCACCACATCCTTTTATGCCATCTCCTCCACCTTCGTACCACCATCCCTTTTGCTACTACTAGGTAGCAAAGACATTTGTACAAAAACATCACCACAGCAGTAAGAACACACCTCAGCTCACTTCATACCATAATCCTTCCACACTCTCATCCCCCTAGTCATCGTTCTGTCATTGATGTGCCAGGGGATAGACAAAGCAGATCAAGTCAAAAGCGACTCGCAAGACAAGAACTCAACTCCAGTCAGTCACCTCTGACTTGAGAACAAATGCTGCGAGTTTTAATTTGGAGATCTTTCTTTTTTTTTTTTTCACTCGGCTCCACTTATATCTCCTCGACTCTACACTTTTGCCGACTCAAGGCCGACTCGACCTGATTCCACTGGAACCATCTCTTGCCCACATCAGAGAGAGAGGCAGGGCAGGGGATGAGGAGGTAGGGACATAGTGAATGGGTGCTTACAAGTTTTCAAGGCCGGTGAAAACGCCAATGGTCTCAGGAAGGGAGCCTGTTAGATAGTTGCCTGGTATGTTTCTGATCCACACAGTGCAAGCACCCACAATTAGGGGAAGGTCAGAATGTGAGACTGTAGAGTAGAAGAAGGTGCTGAATCACTGAAACAGGTCGGCATAGCAACGACCAGCCAACCCATGAGTCATGACTCTGCTCGTTCAATGCATATTACAGAATCTGGAGCGAGCGCCTCATGCCAAGAGCGCCTCATAAAACGCTTCGCTGGACCACTGGGTCAAAACAGGAAGTATTCAAAGCGCAGCAGATGCCCTCCAATGCTCGTGTAAGCACGCAGGCGTCACACCTCATGCCGCGAGCGCCTCAGGGTATTTCGTTTCATGCCAGGCCAGGCATGCCCCACACTCACAATATTTTCACAAAGCTACCGCCGTTGCAGTTGACATTCTGGAATTGGCTGCAGTCGCCGTTCTCCACCCATGTGTCGGTGATGGCAGGTATTATACTGCTCCACTGTGCCTTCATGTCTCGCAGCCCCGGCCCTGTGCCGCGCGCGCAGCAATGGGTGCACAGGAAGAGGCAGCACCAGGTGAGGCGCAGCAATGAAGGGCAGCGCAGCAATGGAGGGCAGCGCAACAACGGCGGCGAGCAAAAGGAGGGGCAGTAAGATGCAATGCAAGGGACGATGGACGCTTGCGCTGCCATTCCATGGGAAAGAGGTTACCGTGAAGCCAGGCCATGCGATGGCAATGATGTGAATGGCATGGACATGTGATGGCAAGGCCTGGTGGTTGGGTGGACTGCAGCACTCACACTCACACACCCACCCACGCGCACGCGCGCGCGTGCACACACACATGCGCGCACGTGCGCGTGCACTCTCCCACACCCACACAGACACACACACACACATGCGCGCACGTGCGCGTGCACCCTCCCACACCCACACAACCACACGCTCACACTGGCTGGGGTCAAGGGGAGCAGCGTGTGCCATGGGGAGAAAGCCACGGCTGCAGCCGCTGCTGCGCCAGAAGCAGCCCTTCGTGAGGCCCTCGTCGCTCCCCACCAATGCCATCACCGCCACCACGCCCATCACAGCCAGACTGACCACCCCCCTGCCACCGCCCCTCGCCATCGCCCCCTCCCGCAGCTTTCAACGGCCTCCTCGCCCTCCCCGATGCACAAATGGGGGGGCACTCGCACAAGCGCTCGTTCAGGTGGCGGCAGCACTGGCACCGTCGCGGGTGGTCGATGCGGTTGGGCCTTGGCTGTGGGAGAGCCTGTCAAAGGAAGAGGCAAGGAGAAAGGTGAGAGGAGGGTAGTCATTGAGGAGCGTCGCACGTCATCCCTGACTGACTGGCCCTGGCGCGCATCTGGTGCTGCCTACTCAGCAGGGCTCTGAGACGATAGGATGGGAAGTGCCTCCTGTTGCTCCGCACAGCATACCTCCTGTTGCTCCGCCGGCATTACTACCTTGCGGCCTGCCCCCGCCGGTTCTGCACCTGACGACGCTCTGGGGCTCGAGGCCGAGAAACGGGCGAAAGGCTGGAGAAACGCCAGCTGAACGGCGCGGTTGCGGAAGTACTAGTAGAGCTGCGATGGCGAGACGCAGTGCATCTGATGCGCTCGTGCAACCCTAAGTCGCGTCGCAAGTTTGAAGAACGAATGCACCGAGATTTTTAGGTACAGGCTTCAGCGGCGGCGCGCCGCTATGCCATCGCCCGAACTCCGCCCTCCGCCTCCGCCTCCGTCCTCCCGCCCTCCGCCTTCCACACTTCCGCAAAAGTGGAGGAAGTGTGAGTTTATCCTACGAATACCATGTATAGTAGATAAGACGTGCTTACCTCGGAATCCCTGGCGGAATCCTCGGCGGCGCTTTTCTGCATCACAGGGAGAAAGGCTCCTACTATCGCCTGTTGTGCCGCTAGTAACAGCGGCAAAAGCGACGATGAGCGGCTCTTCCATCTCGATGTCGGAACGGAACGTCCCCATAGCACCTTGTTCTGCTCCCATTCAGCCACACAATCAGGATGCCGCTCTGCCAGGAAAACTCACTAACGGCTTGGTGCGTGTACATGCGAGGCTCGTAGGCATGGAACGAGCAAATCTATCCGTGAGCTCCGACGGCCCGGCCTGGGACACCTGTGACCAGTTTGCCACCAAACCTACTGTTGACACTTTTTTTCTGAGTGAGGGCCAGCCTCGCCGGCCGGAGTAGGTTGTCGATTAGTTAGGGGCCGCCCTTACGAACCAGCAGGTCTGGAAAATGAAACCGGATGTGCAAATTTTGGCATAAATACTTTATCGACCTACACTTAGCGCCTCCTAATTTAAAATCTAACAATATCCTTATGATTTCATAAGTTTAACATTTGCATTGCAACAAAGAGCAATAAATTTCAGACAAAAATGATTACTGTTCCTATGATGCTTGAAGGTTCCATCACAAGTTTTATCCACCACATGCTTATACACAATCTACCGTATTCTTAGCGTCGTAGAAAATTACATACACTCATAAGCAATGAATCATTAAAGCAAATGTATATTATCAAGAGCAACTCGCATCCGTATTGTTACAATCTGAAGCGTGTCTTAGCGAAGAGGATCGTCTCAGGGTTGATCGCAGGTAGTGTCGCAGCGGAAGTAGTGAACTCAGGTCAGAGTGAATGCGACAACGGCGATTCGCAAAGGCCTCTACCTACAGGAGTTGCTACTGGAGGCAAAAATCCCAACGTCGCCCACCTTTCGCCTGCACTGCGACAACCAGAGCGCGATCAAAATCGCGAACAAGCCTGGGTTCTTGAACCGCACGAAGCATATCGCAATGCGGTACTTCTTTGTCAAGGACGAAATTGACCAAGGCAAGGTTGACCTCGCGTACTGCCCGACCACTGAGATGGCAGCCGACTTCCTTTCCAAGCGCTGCCACGTCAGCAGTTCAAGCACTGCTCCGACCTCACCGGAGTGGTCAAGCGAGTCAGCACCCTTCGCGTCCAGGAATGAAGGGGAGTGTTACGATACTTTAGAGTACATGGCTAGTCTCGGTCGTTTCGCATTCCTTTGTAAATCTATATAAACCCTATGTATGTATGCATGCTATTATCAATATCACGAAGCCAGTTTGGGACCGTCGATTCGCAGGGTCACCGACGTGATCCGCGTCCACATAGCCGTTGATGTTGAAGGATGTTGTTGGCAGTGTGGAGTAGGAGAGCCCGATGTCAGGTGTGGAGATGAAATACTGCAGGGCGCGCTCCAGGTCCAGCTGGTTCTCGGCTACTGGTTTGCGGGAGTACTGTGCCAGTTGGCTGGCGATGTACGAAAGGTCGGGTCGGCATGTGACAGATGCGAACAGCAGGCAACCCAGTTGCTGCTGGTACAGTTGAAGTCCCGCAGGGGACAGAGGTTTGTTGTCCGGTTTGTAGTTGGTGCTGGGGTTGCGGTAGGGAGTTGAGAGCGCTGCGCGTAAAATGTTGAAGCGTTCCCCCAGTTGTTCTGCGTACTTCGAGGCTGACAGATGAATTGCTTCTGGCGCGTAGGTGATGTCCACGCGCTTTGCCAGGTTTTCCTCGAACTGGTTAAGGAGTGTGTTGCAGTTGCCAGTGTACAGCAGGTCGTCGACGTAGACGATAAGAAGGATTTCGTCGCCATTGAAGTGGAGGCAATACATTCCCGGGTCGTGTGGCAGCTGCCTGAAGCCGATCTCGAGCAAAATCTTGTGCAGGTGCTGCTGCCAGAGTCGAGCCGCCTGCTTGATCCCATAGAGGGATTTCTTCAGCTGGCAGACCCTGGGGTCTCCTTCTCCGTAGGTGTGTGGCTGCTCCACAAAGATGGTTGCGTCCACCAATGCAAATTAGATGCGTTCTTCACGTCGATCTGTCGCAGTGGCAGATGCTTAGCGGCGGCTATGGCGAGTAGAATCCTGACGAAGGTGTGGCGGCTGACGTGAGTAAAGGTTTGATCGAAGTCGATGTCGTGACGCTGGTCGTATCCGCGTACGACCCATCGTGCCTTGAAGCGCTCAATGGTTCCGTCAGCGTTAGTCTTGAGACGAAAAAACCATTTTCCGCTTAGCACCATCCTCCCCTTCACTGCTGCACGGTCGACGAGAACCCATGTATCGCGAGGCTCCAGCGATTTTAGCTCAGCATCCATCGCGGCACGCCACTTCTTGGCGTGAGGGCCGGTTAGGGCCTGGCGCGGGTTCTTTGGTTCGACGGCGCGGGCGAGGGAGGAGATTGAGGTGTGTAGGCCGAGAAGTTGCAGGCCCGACATATTCGTTGTATCCGCGGTGTCAGTGATTGGGACTTCCACCACGTCATCACCGTCGCTCTTGTGGCCAGGTGAGGATGTGCTTGGTTCGGTTCGGCGGCGGGATGGTCCGGGCGCTGGAGCGTTGTCGCTGTCGTCGTCGTCATTGTCCGTGCGAGGGCAAGGCGGAACACCGGGATGGTCGTCAGTGTCGTCGCGATCGAACACTGCTGCTGCTGCTTCATCCTCGGGAGATGCAAAGCTGCGGCCGCTGTTGACGTAGCCACGAGCTTGGTTGCGCCGCTCATCCTCGATCCATTGCTGCAAGGTGAGCCGTTCGTAGAAGAGAACGTCACGCGCGGGAACAGTCTTCTTGGTGTCAATGTCGAGAATGATCCAGCCCTTGTGCTCATTGCTGAGTCCCAGATAGATGCCCCGGCGTGCGCGCTGGGCAAGCTTGCTGATTGGGGCTGAAGTTGGCCGGTACTGCACCATGCACCCCCAAACCCTCAGCATGGAGGGGTCTCCCCTTGAGCCGGTCCACTTCATGTGCGGGGAAAGGTTGTCCCTGTTGGCTGTGGTGGAGAGGAGGTTGTGCAGGCGCACCGCGTGGTTCATGGCGTAAGGCCAGAACTTCTTGGGCAGGGCGGACTGGTTCATGAAGGCGCGCACTTTCATCATGAGAGTGCGGTTAACCCTCTCCGCGACGCCTTGCTGCTGATCTCGTGCTTGATTCCCTTCTCGGTGAGGGCACTCTCCAGTTCGTTGCTGCGAAACTCCTTGGCGCCGTCGCTCTGCCAGATTTTTAGCTTCCTCCCCGACTGCCACTGTGCGTGTGCGAGCCAGATGCAGAAGACTTCTGAAGCCTTGGAGCGTGCGTCGACGCTGGCGATCCAGACGTGGCGCGAGTAGGCGTCGATGAAGGTCAGCGTGTATTTTTCACTGTTGAGCCCATCGCAGGTGAGCACGATGAAGTCGCTGTACACCTTCTGCAGTTTCTTGTAGCGGTTGGTGCTTGGCGGGTTCCAGAGAGGGGTAGGTGCTGTGGGTGAGGGCTGCTGTGGGGCAGATGGTGCAGGTGATTGGGTGTGAGGTGTTGTGTGGTTCAGTGCCATCGTAGGCGTAGGCGTGCTCCTTCGGTCGGGGATGATGTTCAGCGGCGTCGTTGTGCCTTCGATGAGACGCGCGAATGGATATGGGCGAGAGATTGGACCGAGTGAGTCTCGTGCTGGGGTTGGTGGTACGTTCGCCTCCTCAATCTCTGTCCAGACGCTCTGCCATCGGTAGGGTGAGCGGGGAGGCGAGCGAGTGGGTGGCGGTCGTCCAAGAGGGATGGCCACGCGAGGTGATTCTTCCCCGCGCTCCGTTCGCATTTCTCGTTCCGCTTCCTCCAATTCTTCCTGTGTCAGCTCAGCCTCATTTGTTTCTTCCGTGCCCCATCTGCCTGTAGTGACCATGCCACTTCCACTGGCTCCCCAAGCGCCAGTAGCTTATCCCCGGGTAGCGCCTTCTTCCGGTTCGTAATCTTCGTCTCCCCACGCGCCTCGGCGTGCAGACTCCTCACTCCATCCTGATGCAACGCGCTCCTTGTACAGCTTTTGTTTCTTTTCTGCCCTGGTCTTTTCTCGTTCCTCCTTGACGCTCAGCTCACCTTTAGCGTCATGATCCTTCCAGGCGGGGTCGATCTCGCGGCGATAAACTTCGCGAGTGTACGGGCGCAGGCGACCTCCTCGTCTTTTGTGCCGGTGTTGGCTTCAAGCATGAAGCGGAGTGTGTCGGAGCGCGGCGTTGGGCGAGGTACGGGCTGCTGACCTAACTGGTCGTTTCTTTCGCCGAAGATGCGGTGAGTTGCTACAGTGAGCTCTTCTTTGGTCATGCCGGTAGGTTCCTCCTCAGCGCTTTCTGCTTCCTGGATTGCCGCATACTCTCTTTTGACTTGCTCCGTGCAGCTCGCCGTGGGTGTGTGGCAGGTGGTACAGAGGCCGTTGATGTCAAGCTCATGCAGATTTATCTCGCGGGGATGAGAGCTCCGTCCGACCCACGGTCGGCCATCAGGGTGCTGCCATGACTCCTTATTCATGAAGGCGAACTCGAGAGGGGCGAGATCCACAAGCTCGTCTGATGAAGCTTGATAGCTGGGTACGTCGAAGTCCAAGACATAACGGGCTCGACCGAGGAATTTGAATAACTCTGGAGGTGTGTATGGCGAGGCATACGTGAGGATGAGGTCGCGTGTGGCCAGGTCCGTGGTGAGTATAACGCTACAGTCGCGGAGTTGTCCTGCCGAGAGCAGATTGAAGCGCAGGTCGGGGATGTAGAGTGTGTCGTTGAACGAGATATGTGTGTTGCTGTCTCGTGCTTGCAGTACAATGATGCCTTGTGAGTTGGCGCGCAGCTGGTGGTTGTTGGCGACGGTGACATAGGTTGTGGGGGCGCGGCTGAGATTCGACACGTAGCGAATGGATCCCACCTGCCCGCAACAGCTATCCAGGTACCAAGTGCTGTGGTTTTTGGTGTTGTTGTTGCGTAGGAGCAGCGCGAGTCACGGAGTCACCAGTGTCGCCTTGTAGTGCCTGTGAAAAAACGGGTCTTCATCCTCCTTCCATCCCACAGGTACGTAGAGTTGATTGTCGTGTGGCGGACTTTCCCGCAGTGTGATTGGCTGGTTCCAATCCTGCTCGTCTTCGTCGTACCGGTAGTAGTGGTCTTCCGTAAGAGGATTATTCCATCCTTCTTTTGTGTCCAGCAGTCCTCCCTCGAGCTCGTCCTCTTTGTCTGGTTCAGCGGTGCGACGACGCCGTGTCGCCATGTTTGCTTTCATGTTTCTAGGAGCTCCCCCTTGACTTCCTTGTGTTTGCTGTGGTTGTTGTTGCACAGAAGGACGGGAGGCTGGTTGTTGAGGCTAAGAATGACGAGCGTCTTATCGGCCGACCCAATTGTTATGGTGAGTGGAATTCGGGTGGCGATAGTTGGATCGGGATTTGCATCGATCCGTTGAATGCCCGAAGGTCTTGCATATTTTGCAGTAATGGCGCCTTGGTTGTCGTCGCTCTTCACGGTTGTCTGCGTAGAAGGCGAGGCGCTCTCGGCGCGGCGCGGAGCTTGTTCTGCTCGAATCCATGTCCTGCTGTTCAGTCAGCAGTGCGGCGCATAGCGCGGCTTCTGAGAGCGTTCCTCGTTGTCGGAGTAGAGCCTTGCAGGGCTTCCACTCGGGCCCAAGTCCCTGGAGGAAAATGTTGACGAAGATTTCCTCCGAGATAGAACTTCCGTTTTTTATAATCTGATCACGGATGTTCCGACAACGGTTGATGTAGCTGTTTGCTTTCTCCCCGTGCCCCATCTTGGTCTCCATAAGTTGTTGCAGGAGACGACTTGCAGTGACGGAATCCTTCGGCTGATAAACCTTAACGAGGTGCTTCCAAGCTTCGAGAGCTGGAGCGGCGCTCTCTTTGTAGGAGCGGATGCCGAGCTGTTCTGCTGGCGACATGTTGCGCAGCAGAACGCTATACGCCATGAGCGACTCACTGTAGTACTGAGCCCGTGCGTCTTCGGTGTCTTCCACCGGTTTAGGATAGGAGCCGTCGAAGTAGTGGTAGATCTGCGCTGTCTGTAGGAGGAGCTCAAGCTCAAAACTCCATGTATAAAAGTCTTTGTCATCAAACGCGGTGGTATTCTTGATTTTTGACACGCTGAGAAAACGTGTTGGCGTAGAGTTGATTGTTTTGTCGCTTGGACGAGTGGCTGTTGTTGCAAATTTGTCTGAGTCAATGGAGAAGCCATGCGCGGCGGTATCGCGGCTTTTCGTAGCCGGTTGTCCAGGTTGAACTGGTTGGGAAGTGGTTCCCGCATCGCCTTTGCGCAAATCTTGGAGTTCTTTCTCCATGGTCGACAGTCGACCGAATAACTGCTCGAGCGCGGCAGTGCCGATCGTGGTTGTCGCCTCATTTGTCGCAGCCGGGTTGGTTTGTCCTTCGGCCGTTAGATTCGTTTGGCCTCCGGATCCTCCGGCCATCTTGGTCTTGGAGCGTGTGCCGCTCGCCAGATCTAGGTTTGGCGAAGTTTACGGAAGTGACGTTGCAAAGAATCCCTGAGCAGCTCTCATACCATGTTACAATCTGAAGTATATCTTAGCGAAGAGGATCGTCTCAGGGTTGATCGCAGGTAGCGTCACAGCGGAAGTAGTGATACTCAGGTCAGAGTGAACGTCAACGACTGAGATTGATAATAGCATGCATACATTGGGTTTATATAGAAATACAAAGGAATGCGAAACGACCTAGACTAGCCATGTACTCTAAGGGTTACATTCCCTTATTGCAGCGAAATTCAAACCGTGCGGCGCGGGAACCAGTTTCAAACCTGTTCCCGCCTTTTTCACTTCAAATGTTTCTGCCTGCATCGGTCTTGATCAGACGGTTGCTGTGTCGCTTCGACTCTTCTGACTCCTCGTCTTCGTACTCGGTAGAGTCAGCTCCTGCAGCATACAGGAATGCCTTCTCATAAAACTTCATACCGTACCACGTATCATCATAAAGTTTAATCTTCTACACAGTTTTATAAGATCACACGACTGATCGCTCAAATGTGGCAGGGGAAGTTAATTTGCAAGCCATGTTACCGGCACGGATCACATATGTCAGTGCAAGTGTGTCTCATCGACAGCTCGACCTTCATTGGTGACTCTGTGTAAAATGGGAAGAGGTGCCCCGATGGTAGCGTCTGTGAAGTTTGTTGGAAACAAGTGATTTAAACGCTTCCTGAGTGCCATAATACTGACTGTTAACGAGGCGAGCTACAGCGCAGCAACGGTGAGCCAACCGAGGAGGTTGACAGAAAAGTAACAGCCGGAGGTTACGCGAAGGTCAAAGGTCGCTGACCTTTGACTCGACAAATACAGCGCGACAGCAAGGACAAACAACTGACTCGTTATTGAGCAGTTGCCCGAGTCGTCACTGTATCGAACTGCAACAGCAACAGTAAAACAGTTATTTCCACCAGTTGATATTCCTTGAAATCTATAAAAGCTTGTACTTTCTTTCTATAATCAATCTATCTTGCCCTCACATACTAGCGCAAGGTGGTTCAACACTTGTTATTAAAACGCTTCCGCAATCACAACATTTCTACTCTGAATTTAGCCTTGTAAAGATCCTAAGGGCTTTTCTCAGCCCAACAGAAGTCACAAACTGCTCGTTTTTTGGAGACGTGATGGTGGTGTCGCTGAGATCGTGATGACGACTGTCACCAGCCAAGTTCCATAAAAACATGGGGATGTGCAGAACTGTGGAAGAGCAAGAGAGAACTACCAAGCGCTAGAGTGCAGTGGAGCTACGTCAAGGATACTGTAACAGGAGCTTGAAGCGGCAAGAGGGTGGTGGAGTCGCGGAAGAAGCACATAGTCTTGTACGAAGGAAAGAGACATGCATCAATGAACGCACATGAATAATAACACGCGTATCGCCACTGCCATTGAAAAACCCCCAATTGAAAAGGCCAGTTTTGTGTAGCGTGTAAGTGCGCCTATACCCCCCCAGGCCGACATGCATGTAACCCTTCCCTATAATCAATTGGGGATCACCAATGAACCTCTGACACCCCCCCGCACTGGGATGCCCAAGGTGCACACACCGGGATTCGAACCCGGGACCCTTTGCTCTGATACCATATCAGAATCCCAATCACTAACCACTGGGATAAAATGACTTATTTGTGTAGTGGGTGAAAGCGACCATAAACCACCAGGCCGACGTGCCTATAACCCTTTCATATGATCAATCGTGGATCACCAGAGGACCTCTGAGAGGATCAGCAATCCTATCATCAACACCCCTCGACATACCAGCACCTCCGCCTCCTCCACGACCATGCCCTCGGGGAGCTAGGGAGCTGGGGTGGAGTGCAACCTTCCAGAAGCTACTATTGGAGTAGGATAGTATCTGCAATACATTTTGTTCAGGCCTTATATTCCTTTTATGGGTCAGTTCTGGTTTACACATGTTTTATCCAACCTGGCCAAGATGAACTGCAATTTCGGAATGCTACAACTTTGCCTGAACTGGCCAGCACGGCTGATATAAAGGCAGCCTAGAGGAGGTCAATTGTCGCAGACTCCTTGCTGAAGCTTGACTTTGTCGGGCAGGCACACGCGGGTTGCTTTGACGAGCTTGTCGATGCAGTCGTATCCGTTGATGTGCTTGTAGCAGCCCTTGATGCCCCGGAAGTACTTCACCTGAAGGGCTGTGCACCTATCGCCTGTCCCCACCACATACGCATTCGCACGCGGGCACGTGCCCTGCGTGTACGACGTGGAGCTCGCAATGCATGCCTGGGGTGGAAAAGGAGGTGGGGGGGAAGGAGGGGGAGGGGTGGAGTGACGAAAAAAGGGAAAAAGAACATGAGACAGCAATCATGAGAGAGTCAGTAAGACGAGGGAGTAGACTAGCTGATTTTTGTAAGACAGCGATTCACGAGCCACAATGAAGGGCAGAGAGGCACGAGCAGAGCCGGTGCGACACACGCACCTCAAAGCCAGTGAAGCCATCGACGTCGGTTTTTGGAAGGAGGCGGTTGCACTTGATGCCGGGGTTGAGGCGGAAGAAGTCAATGGGCTTAAGAGGGGGGTAGGGCACATTGCGAATGGACTCGCACGTCTCTGCGCTCTGCACCAGGTAGTACTGCGAGCACACCGGGATGAGCCCCACATTCTTCGTTTCGCGCTCCACACACACCGCCTGCTCCGGCTGCAGCAAGCCGCTGTTGGCAGTGCAGTCCAAGCTGGGGTTGAGCGCCTGGAATTTTGTCCCAAAGTAGCTTGCTAAGGCCTCACAAGTGTCGCCCTGTGAGAGAGATGCACAGGGAGACGCAGGATGAGGTGGAAAGAATGATCATTCCGAGGCTAGGAGGAGATGACCGTTGAAATAGGATTAAGAAGGGATTTGGAGCATTTTTAGATATAACTAGAGGAGCAGATAGAGATGAAGAGAATGAGGAAAATAAGGATAATGAAGAAATCAAGGAATCTGGGGTAAAAAAGGAGATGGGGAACATGGCGGATGCGAAGGTGGGGACCTGCTGAGTGGTGTAGTAGACGGAGCAGGGGGTGAGAGAGGCTGGGCTGGCCACTTTAAGAACGGTGGAGGGTGGAATGGGATCTGCACACGACACCGATGGCTGCACACACCGAGGGAGAGGCACGAGAAGTCATGGCACACAGCCAGTCAGGCAAGGAGCGGCGCCAAAAACAGGGAAGACAATAGCCGGTGAGGTTTGGGAACAGGAGACGCACGTTCTGGGCTTGGAACTGGGCGAGCGTGAGGCCGTAGACCGGGAAGACATCGGAGCAGCGGACGTTGGGAGAGAGCACGGTGTAGGTGGTGCTGGTGCCACCTGCATGCAGCCCAGCACGCAGGACGTCATACAGCATGGAAGTTGCAAACGTTGCACAGAAGCAAATAAGCAGAAGGCTCAGAGCACATCACGATTGCATGCATGGAAGCTGGAATCTAAGTTGGTTTTCATGTTTATGTGCATGTTACTAAACATTAGCCCACGTCCAGAATCAAGCCCTTTATTACAGTTGGGCTACAAGTTTAGTCTGTAACATTTTTTCTCTTGTGAATACGTGTTTCCGTCAAGGGATCCCGTTCGGTTCGTTATGGCAATTACGAATTCAATGTACACAACTGACATAACCCTTTTGCTGTAAAGGTATCTCTTGTGGGGCCCAACAAATTTCAGCTGCTCCGCATGAAATCCTGCCTTGCGCCGCTTATTTCAATCGGCAAAAAAGCCTACAATTTTGGTTGCTCACGGATATATTCCGCCAGGCATACGTGATTGCACACAAAACCACCCACAAACACTAACCCTGGTTCTCTTGTTACACCCAAGGTGGATGAGATTGGAGGCACTGCATAGGTTCACACCACCCACACCGTAGTATGCACCATATGCTCAAATCATAACCTAACAACGTGGTGGTTCCATGACTGCTGCATTACAATCTCGTGACCTGTCACGAGTGTTGCATGCTCGCCTCGTGACCCGTCCCTGGATCGAGCTGGGCCACGTGATGCAATGCATTCCCTTTGTCGAGCACACGTTTCATGAACTACAAGCAATCTTTTGAACATGACTTGGACGTCTGGTGCAAGACTGGTCTGGTCTGGAGGTTTGGTGGTCAGGCACAGGTCCGGCGTCTGGTCTGGAATGGACCAAAGGGTGGACGAAGGGCGGACCGAAGCAATGTGACATGCGCTTACACAAACACTAAGCACTAAAGAAGAAAGTAGAAAGGAGAAAAGAGAAGGTACCTGGAGCACAGGAGTAAGTGCCCTCGACGGTGGTGCCCTGCCTGAAGCCCGGTGGACACACACACGAGTACGACCCCGCCCCGTCATTCACACACTGCCCCACCGCACACGGATTGCGCTGGGCTGCCTTGCATGCATCCTCTGATGAGAGGCGCAGTGGAGAGAGGGGAGGGGAGTGGAGGGAGGAGAGGGATGGGGAGGGTAGGGTAGGGGAGGGTTGAGGAGGGAATGGATGGGAACGTAGGGAGGAGAGGTGTGGGATGAGGAGGGGAGGAGAGGGAGCGGAAGTGGGAGCGGATGCTGTGAGAACAGTGAGACCAAGCAAGCAATGAGAGGGTTTCAAATTGTAAGAACGTCAAGCATCATAAAACAGCATCAAACGGTGCCGTCTACGGCAGCAGCAGCAGCCGCAGCAGCGATGGCAGTGGCAGCAGAGGCTTACTGTAGGCGCATGTGCGAGAGCCATCGGCGTTGGTTGCTTGGATGAAGCGCGGGTCGTTGCATTCACACTCGTTAGTCTTGCCTTTCACCGTGCACTTGAACTTGCCGCAGGGATTGAAGAACGAGCCAGTGCTGTCATTGCGGGCGGCTAAGCTGCAGGGGTCAGAGGTGCCTGCAGGTAGAAAGAGGGCGGGCATGGAGGGCAAAGCAGCAAGGCAAGTGGGTTGCGAAATGAGCACTCACCTGATCTAATCTGACTGGGGTAGAGTCGAAATACTACGTTTTAATGCTTGATGACGCTGGTGTTGGGTGCAAAATGTTATTTTTGCACTGCAACCAGCCGCCTGCATGATGTCACGCATTATGTGTGTGTTCTGTATGCATTCGTTTTCACATTTCATTTCATGCGTTGTTGCTGTGGAATCATGATCGGCCATGACGAGTCATGTTCGTTCATGTCGGCTCATGTACGTTCATGATTTTTCATTGGCGAACATGTGCGTTCATGAAAGTTCTGTGTTTCATGAATGTCGAGTCATTTCATGAATATTAATTGTGAGTGTCGAGTGAGTTTAGTGCGGGGCTCGAGTTTCTTGACCAGCCCGAGTTTCTGGTCAACTCAAAAGTGCGCGAAGTCAGGACCCGCGCGTGGGGTTTTGACATGCGAGTGTGGCCGCACAGAAAATGCTCTCGTGTCGCAACTGTTTCGATCGTGCACGGTATGCACGATCGCTACAGAACGGAGCGAATGATCGCTCCGTCATTCGCAGGACAACGCACGATCGTGTCAGCGATCGTCTTGCCCTGCACTACCAAGAAATATCTCGGTTGTGATGAGGGGCACGTGGGGCACGTGGGGCACGCGAGACTTCGCGGTTGACTAACAGAATTTTTGCGCTGACTCGGCGAGCAGGAAAATTCGTAAAAAAGTCACGCTGCTTTGCGTCATAATTTCAAAAGAGGTACAAAACGGGAATCTTACACGAGCGTTCACAATCGCACACGAATAAACATGAATGTTCGCGAGGAGAGTCAGCAAGAGAATTTGACAGTTATTCTACAGAGGCGAATCAAGCCAAATTCTGAAGTAGTTTTATAACCGTTTTTCAATGACAGCAAAGCGAAGTCCTAGACGACAGTTAGACAACTTCCTTGTGGTGTTTTATTTGTGTACCTATGACCTCTCATATATGTGTGATTGTATTTGCTTTCAACATAATAATCCTTCTATTATTTTCGCAAGCATACATTCTACTACTACGTATTGACGAAAGTAGAAACACAACGAAGTGCTGCCGAAACTCTACTCGAACAAAACATTCACTTTACAAGCTACGATAAGCATAACTACTCACTTGTTTTTTACACCCACGGCTACGAGGTGACATGCTGTTACACTTCGGGAGTTACAAGTGATGTTAAGTGTTGCCTAATTTCCGCTTGTGAGCTGAGTTTGATCGCCTCCGCATAAAAATTGGACTTAACAGCTGGCCCATTAATTTCTGACACTAACAATTTAGAAATATTGGGAGGGAGGTTATATGCTATGTATGGGCGGAGTAGTGAAAACTATGCACAAGAATAATGAAAACGTGAAAACTATGCAGGCATGAAAACTATGCCTGCCTGGATTCTTTTCTACCGGTTGTCAAGCATCAAACCAGTGTGAAAGCGCGTCAAGTGTCCTGATGCTAGCGTTTTCACAGGCGAAGGCCATCATAACTCATGAGCCTCTTGCCCATGCAACCATCTTGTATCTTAAACTTTCCTTTCAGCATGTACTCACTCACTCCTGACAATGCACTCGCTCGCCTCTAACCATACACTCACCTCTAACCATGTCCTTGCTCACTCACTCTTGGCCGTGCACTCACTCACCTCTGACCACGGGGTAGAGGCCTGGCAGCGAGTTGATGCCGCACACGCCATCCCACCCCTGGATGTCCATGCGCATGTGGCCCCCATCGCCCCAATCAGGCCCCCATGAGTTGCGGATGATCCAGAAGGGCGGCGCCATGTGGGGGAAGCGCGAGTCCTTGCCCACCAGGCGGTACCCCACCAGCAGCACCACGTGGTTCAGGTTGTACGTGAAGCACGCTGGGTCCTGGTACTTGGACAGCTGGGGGAAGGCATGAATTGGCAAGTTAATGAGTAATTAGCCACCACGTGCTTGAGTTAGGGGGTCATGGAAAGGAAAGAGAGGGTTGAATTCGCACTTCATTCATGGAAGGAGATTCACACACGCGTCCTTAAGAATTCAAACTAGCCCACTTATTTGTTCACACCCACATTCCCCGTCCGTCTCACCCCATCATAATTCTTGAACGTGGGGGCGGAAGCCTCAATGTGCACCACCACTGGCTGCCGCTGCACGGCCAGCAGCAGCCCAAACCAGCCGTAGAAGGACGTCGACTCAAAGCCGCTGATGGGGATTCCACTGGGGAGCTGCTGGCAGATGTGTGCGAGGGACGGGGTGTGGAGGGGGATCGACGCATGGGGTATAGACGAGGACCAGAGCACACAAAACTCTAGAACGGAACAGCATCTCAGCACCCAGTGTGAAAGAAGCGTTAGCAGCACAGAAATTCACTGCTCAAAGAATGAAGCAGTATCCCTTGAGATTATTTGACAGTGCTACACTAAGCTGGCACGAGTCCCACTATCTAACTCACACGTGGGGTGGCAGGACCATTTCCGCACGACACACCGAACAGCTTTGCCAGTGGCTTCAGCAACGGAGAGCAAAGAGGACTGCTGCTGCCTTCCTTTGCGGCCTTCTTGCCTTTCTCAGCGGGCCACTGACTATCCAACACGAGCCCGCCTCCTTTTTGCGCCAGCTTGAGCAGCAGCTGGAAGGCCTGAGACGGGGTGCTGCCAGAGCAGCCGACCTTCATGGCGGCCTTCAGCTGCTCCACTGACAGCACCGGCGCCGCTGAGGTGTTGGCGAGAATTCCCAGCGCCGCCTCCACGCTGCCCACCACTGCGTACGCCCAGCAGTCGCCTGCCAGCACATGTATGGGTTGCATAAAGGAGATACACGGTTTGCATAGGCAGACTATTATCACAGTATTGCATCACATTTGCACTCCTCTGAACTTCGGCATCCAATAAGCGAGTCCCATACGCTTTTGTTTTCAGGACTACCCTCGCATGTCCTTTATTTTGCATGGCAACTTTTGGATTATGTTTCCTGCAACTCCTCCCCTTCCATAAGTATTTGATAAAACACAATGCAACACTGGATAAGAATTGTGTCAATGAAGGTCGAGTCGATCCAAAGAACTAGGCATGATCAATAGGCCCGACCCGACCCGACCCGACCCGACTTGGGCGGGCCAGCCGGGTTCCGGGTCGGGTCGGGTCGGGTCGGACCTTTCAAAATCTCTGGCCCGACCCGGGTATCAGGTGCCGGGTCAGGCGTGACCTGCACCCGGGTCGGGTCGGGTCAGGCCAGACCCCCATATGCTCTGAAACGCGGGCCTGCAATACGCGCGCCTAAGGAGGGAGCGCGACCTGTTATTTTCGGATTTAAAAATAAAACCCAGTATGGATGGCGCGATGTGCGAATACCTTATAAAAAACGATTGGCTGAGTACTAACTAAACATTATCGTAGGTTATAGGGTAGATTAGTATGCCACTATTGCTTGGTGGGTGGCTGCTGGCGTCACTAGCTAGTTAACTAAGCTTAAACCAGATTGAAATACTAGTCGCGGGGAAACAAAACAAACGGAATTGCGATCTGGCTAAGTTTGTCGAGAGGAAACCCTCGGGTCGGGCCAGATACCCGACCCGTCATAGGGCGCGGTACCCGAAACCGGGTCGAGTCCCTAATCGGGTCGAAACCCGACCCGACCCGACCCGACCCGAAATCGGGTCTCGAGTCGACCCGACCCGCCCGGGTATACCCGACCCGACCCGGCCGGGTCAGTAGTTCAGAACACCTGACCCGACCCAGGTCAAAACCCGGGTCGGGTCGGGTCGACCCGACCCGCCGGGGCACCCTGCTCATGCCTACAAAGAACACCTCACGTTCGCACTCACTCTCTGCTCCTTTAGAATTCATCATCCTACAAGCGAGTTTCACCCCTTTTCTTTTCAGTGCTGCCCTGACATTTATGTATTTGCACTGCAGGTTCAAGAGTATGTTTTCTGCAACTTCTTCAAACAATCATAGTTTTAAGGAAAGAAAGAAAGAAAGAACGAAACAAAAAAAAAAAAGACAGAGAGGAACAAAATTATGTTAAAAGTGGCCCAGTCGAACCTAACTGCGGTTCAACCACGTTTGGTCAAACCTCGAACCATCCAAGGTGCCTAACTGGTTCGGTTCAAACCTGTTCGGTTCGATTCGACTAATAGGCCGCTACAAGTTGGTTGGATCTGGACTCGTTTGAGTTTGTTCGACTATGCTTCATGCCTACCAGCTCGCTGCAAGCCCAGGTATCCTCGTCTCTCCCTCGGCCTGCACGAGCCGGCCAACTACAAACATCGGAAAAGGCAAGCCGCATCTCAAAAGAGTGTGAACACTATATGACATGAGATGGCCTAGCCATGAGAGCAAGGTAGAACCTGTCAATTGGTTTGTTATTGACCTGGGCGAAGCGACAAGGCTCAATGTTTGCGAGTTTGCCTCGAGCCGCAGCCCAACGTGAACGACGCACAGGCCACTCGGGGAAAATTTCGTGAGGGTGCTTTGGGGGTCATGCATTGAAATGCTCAAGCAAATTGTTGAGCTCCAGCCAGGCAGTCCTCCCCTTTGTATAGTACCTAGCTTCATCCCCCACCAACCTCCCATGTTCTCCATGGCTGTTCCCATAGATGGCGAAATGTAAGATCCGTGTGCTAACATGCATTTCGGCTCGAGCCGGGCTTAAACCGGATCGTCCTCCAATAGTTAGTGAAACTAAGCATTTCAACTGCGAGATCCGCTCGGATCCGTTGGAGAAGTGTGAGATTCATGAGAACCATGTGAGATTCATCAGAACCATGTGCTGGTGGAGCACATCAAATTGCGGTCAGGACGAACTCAAACTGGCCCGTCTTGGCTAGGTGGATCCTTCACGAACTCGGACCTATGACCTTGATCAGCGGCAGGCCAAAATGAACCACGAGCAAGCAACTGGGCCGGCCTGGGTTCAATCCATGCTCATGCTTGTTGAATGCGTGTCATGCAAAATGCTCGTGCCATTTGTGCTTGCACAATTAGGATGAGGATATGTCATTATGCGTAACCGTTGGATTTTATCATCTCTGTGTTTTTCTCCAAGTTGACAAGCTTTGTCATGCAAGAGAAAGACAGAGTTTTTTCAGCGATATCAAGATCGGATTATTCCGCCCAAAGCCATTTCATTTACAAGATTTCCAAGATTTGAAAACTCTACATCACTTTGAGATACTATCTAGATTGGGCTATTATCAGAACATAACTATAAATGGATTCTTGGTGAAGTAATTAGAGGGACGATTTTGATTTTAGAATTGAGGCGGCTAAAGGTTTCTAGCATGTGTTACAAATGCTGCAACACCTACGCAAACCCAACTTGATTGATTTCTGCATGTAACACCTCAAGGAATCCATAATGAGAGTAGCATCTTTGCTGCTAGAAAGATTCCTACTATCCTTCCGTAGCTCGTAAGGAACCCTTCTTTTCTCATGGTTCCCTTGTAGTCCCCACTTTTCTCTTCTTTAATGCTTGTACTTCCTCTACCATTTTAATCATGCAGCTGCTGAACATTTTGAAGTCGTTCTCACTCTCAAACCATGTTTTCACGTGATTCAAATTGGAAATCGTAGCTCAACTTACGGCGCACAATCCTACCAAGCGGATTTGCGTTTAATTAAGAAATAAGTTCGTCGTAAACTCCCAAAGTGACATATCCTAGACAAAATTGCCTAGTGTGGCCTAGTGTTGGAGTATGTCAGTTTCCGCTCTATAGTTTATTACGGGTTTACAATGGTTTTCGGCCAGTTTTAGCCCTGGTTTTATTTCAGGCTCAAATAAGGGTTAATTCTGGAGTTTGCTCCTAGGTTCAGTTGGATGTTTACTTTTACTCCAACCAATACTATTTCTTTGTACTCATAACTATGCAACGCAATACTTTCGATCAATTCACTCAACAGACATGGCTGCCACATCCTCATCTCAACACCTAGTACTAGAATTGGGTGTCTAGAAGGAGTACTCACCGCAAGTTGTCTGTGTCTTGACAGGCCATGTGAAATCAGGCCTGGCCCATGAAGCCGTAGGGGGCACGCCATACACGTCATTGCCATTCTCAGCAGCAACACTGCCCGAGCTGGCATAGCGGAAGAAAATATTTATTCCCGACAGAGAGAGCGCCGCCTCGCTGAAGGTAAAGCCCCGCGCTGCATCTGCAAAAAAGGAAGGGTACAGAGTGGGCACGAGGAGGATTGTGCATTGAACAACAAGTACGCACCTGAAACTTTTTTTAAGTGCGACTACATTGCTTGCTCTTGAAAAGGAAAAAAACGCAATAGTATCATGTCATACCTGGAGTTGGCTGGACAGGAAAATCTGCAACAAAAGTTATTAAAGAAAGAAAGAAAGAAAAAAAAAAGAGGCCAAGAGCTGAGTTAGGGTTACTCATCAAGTTCTATTCTAACTAAAGCGATTAGCGAGCAAAAAAGCAGCGACCACGAGAGACAGGATGGATGCAGAGGTGCACTCACAGGTGGAGAGGGTCCAGGCGGAGACGACATGGCTTTGAGGCTGGGTGGCGGAGGCAGCAGTGAAGCCGATGGCAAAGGTGTACTCCGATGGGGAGGGGGCGAGCTCCTCACACAAGGAGATGCGTGCCGACAGAAGGGGGGTGGTAGGGCGAGGGGACGCCTGGGAGGAGAGGAAGACGCGCAGAGAGCCACTGGAGGAAGGGTCGTACTCGATCCACACGTGCTTGGGCTTGCCGTCATTCAGAGAGGTGCTCATATTGGCTGTGACAACCGATGTGACATTGCCGCCGGTGTTGATGCCCATGTGGTTGCTGTCAGGGTCGCTGTTGCCTGCATCCTTGGATGTGTCAAACTCCACTGCCACGCTGCGCGCTCCCATCCCCGCATACCCCATGCCGCCCGCCACCGGTGTTGTGGGCGGGGTGGCATCAAAGGCCACCACAAAGGCAAAGCCTTCGGAGCCAGAGGCAGCAGGGCGGGTGAGAGTGAAGGAGAAGGAGGAGGAGAAGGCAAGCTCGCGGCCGCAGGAGTCCCCGATGAGCTGGTAGGAGAAGAGCGGCACGCGCGCTGCCAGGAACACACTGCCAGCCTTGGACGGCTGGGCGGGCGTGAGAGTGAGCGTGGCTGCATTCACTGAGGCGTCTCCCGTGGCTGTGAGGGTGGCTGCTGTTGGGGTCAGCTGCTGCTCCGTCTTACCACCTGGACATGGTACGCACAGAGGTGCTTTAGAGAGGTGCGTGTAGAACGTGCTTTTTCAAAGGAGGCACTTAGCAGTCACCAGGAAGTATCAGTTAAGTCAAGTTGGCGCCTGAGAACTCAAAAGCAATCTATGAGGATTCTACACAGACGCATGCTGTGAGTGACTCACCTGCCACAGGCACACAGCTGCCGGGGAACTCCCCAATCACGAAGTTATCGTCACAGAGGCATGTGGGCGTGTTGCTGGGGCCGTCAAAATAACACACGCCATGGCCGTTGCAGGGAGGGTCGGTGGGAGAGACACCGCAGAAGGCAAAGCACACGGGGTCAGCCTTTTGACTCTCGTCCGCACCGCACGCAAGGCCATCTGCTGGCGTGGCTGCACAGTTGCTGCGATACGTGATATAGCCCTGCCCGCATGGCGGGGGGGAGGAGAACCCCTCACTTAAGTAGTTGTTATCTAGCTTGTACGCCTCTATTTTGGGTGGCACGGGCTCAAGGACCTTCCCTGTGAGCAGGTTGTTTCTTAAATTGCTGGTGATGGAGGTGGATGGATGGGAAATGAAAGAATGGGAAATGAAAGGATGGGGAACAAAAGGATGGGGAACGGAAGGATGGGGACCAAAAGGATGGGGAACAAAAGGATGGGGAACAAAAGGATGGGGAACAAAAGGATGGGGAACAAAAGGATGGGGAACAAAAGGATGGAGAACAAAAGGATGTGGAATGAAAGGATGGGGAACAAAAGGATGGGGAATGCAACCCAGCAGGAGAGCACCCACACTCGTATCTGCATGGCTGGAGCCTCAAAGCGCAACAGAAAGAACTAGTCAATTAAACTGTTGGAGGCATGGCAGGACAACTGAGTTGGGGCCGAACAGGGGACTTACAGAACGTTTAGGTTGGGAGAAAAAGAGAGACCTTGTGGTATGGTTCCAGTGAGGCGGTTGGAACTCAGGTCCCTGAATGTGATGGAAAGAAAAAGAGGTAAAGAGCCTTCACTGAAAACTGTGGAAGCGAAAGGAGGAAAGCAAGTGTGGCTTGGTTTGTGAAGACACGAGGTCGATGTGATGAGCCCTGAGCCCTGAGCTGTTGGTCGAGCCCCGATTGGGCTCGGCCTGTGCAGCCGGTTGACATGGCGATGAGTCTTGTCTTGAACTCCTAGCCGGCTCGCCAAAGGGCTATCCCTGCCTCGAATGAGGAAAAACAAGCATTCCTATCCGAGTAAATGGAGCCAGGGAGCGCAACGGAAAGAATAAAAGAAATTATGAATGTTGGAAGCATGACATCACCTGAGATGGGGGCATATGGGGGACTCACAGACTTAGGGTTTCAGGTTGTCATGACCAGAAAGTCCTTGCGGTAAGGATGCCAGAGAGGCGGTTGGAGCTCAGCAGTTTAGAGCTCTAATTCGAGCTCAAACTTGGTCATTTGACATTTTGCCAACTTTCTCAGGCATACCTGCGCTTATCACGCTTTCTGTTAGCAATTCAAGTAACAATTAGTTTAAATGAATAGAAACACTAAGGAAACCTGTGTAGAAGCAATTTTTTGGTAGATTATAGCTTTAATATTCCTTTGCACCCTGCCACTATAGCCACCAATGCCCTACAACAACCGCCCCTACCCAAATTCAAACACTAGCAAAAGCAATTCATACCTGATTACACCCGGGAGTTCATCATACACGCGCGCACGGGGCCTTACTCGCCGAAGCTCCCAGGGTTCAATGCTAACTTTTCTTGCCTCAACCATTCAAAACAGAGCCTTACAAGAGTGTGAGGTAGACCAAGCCTGTGACATCGTCCGGTATCGTGCCAGACAGGTGGTTGTCACTGATGTCCCTGGGAGAAGAGAAGAGACGAATGGCATGCAGGGAGACAGAGACACTTGTGGAAAAATCTAATAGTCCCAATAGGTGTTGGAGGAGAAAAGACTGTGTCAGCTCAAGGGAGCACAATGATTATACAACAGGAGGCTGGAGAAGTTTACCTGGGGCCACTGTTAGGCTAGGAGATTTGAATGGAAACAAGCAAAAGAGAACGGAAGACACACAGTCTGTAAAGTTTAGTTGCTGCCCACTGCGTTGGAAGTGGGCCTCGGATTGCGTTGCGTGACAAAATGCTGGGGGGGAAAGTGTGGTGAGAGAAGAGAAGAGAGGGGCGAGAACATAGGAGAAAATATATTAGAAAAGGAGCAGACGTGAGTAAGTAAGAGATGTGAGTAAGCAATGTGCATCCCAATATAGCCATGGCAGAACGTGAGTGGGAGGCCACCGTAGAGGCAAACATTTATGAAAAGAAGCGATCCCAGTGATGGAAGGACTTTAACACACAGCGAGACAGATTGCAACGGCTTAAAGGGCGAGCGGCAAACTAGTCAAACTGATTGGTCAACGAGAGGTGTGTGGGTCCATGCAACACCATCCATTTCACATCCAATAGCCGATGTGGGCAACACACAGCTCGATCACAATTAATCTGTTTTAACAGTTTGGGACTCTGACCTCAGCAGGCGATTCTGAATGAGCAGGAGGGCTGAGTGGGCTTGAAGGAAGGTTGAATGACGAGCGGCACACACATGGGATGGGTGGTTCATGACGCGACAAGGTAGAGGAGACATTCAATCATGCTCCTTTAGCATACCTCCTTTCTCCGATCAGCACGTGTGCTACAGAACGCCATGAGGACAAAAAACCTTTAGAAGGACGGAAGCTACTACCACGCCCCTATGCCCCATTCCCATTCACCATGTCACATGCACCTGTCCCATGCACCATATCCCATGCACCATGTCCTATCCCATGTACCATGCCACACCCCTCTCCATAACCCCCAACCCACAACCCAAACCCATGCCCCATACACTTGCAGTATCTGCACTGTGCGTGCCATGAGTTCAATGTCCATTCCCATGCTCCACCCATCCGCCCCATGTCTCACAGGCTTTGTAGTGAGGTCATAGTACCCAGGTCCGAAGGGAGCGACCCACTCAGATTGTTGTTCCCCAGCTCACTGCCGTGCAAGGCAAGGGGTGCAGGGGCAGGGAAAGAGGACAGGTGCAGAAAGACAGGGAGAGAGGAGAAGGGCGGGGGGGGAGAGAGAGACGGTGGGATGGAATGGTCAAAAGAAGAGGAGGAACATTGTCGATTGAGAAGGAAGGAAGGGCAGGCGGGAGATTGTTGTTAGCGTTGTTGTGAGGTTGAACACTAGTGAGGGTGCACGTGCAGTAGTGGGAGGGAGTGATGCAGCTCCTTCCCTCTCGATCTGCCTCTTGCTCCAACACAATGCCCACTCGCACGCCCACACCGGGCATTCGCCCACGCCGTGCAGGGCCCATGGCAGGCCAGTTAATCAAACTGGCCTTGCTTCCAACTAAGACGAATCGGTTCACCTTGGCTGAACCAAGACTTGCCTACCTACCATGTGTTTTCTTGACCTCGAGAAATGGCTTCTCTACCAAAGCACAAGTCAACACCTCCTCAATACCGCCAACGTGCGAATTTCATGCTTCATCCATACGATGCAAAAAAGCACCGGGGAATAGTAATAGTTTTGCAAACTCTTTGAGGTATTTTCCCTTCGTTACTATCATACTAACCTGCCCAGACATTTTTCGGCGCTCATTTGCACGTATGGTATCGGGTTAATCGTGCGTATTTGTAACAAAACGAACTTCGGGCCCAACTTAGGCTGCATATAACAGCCTTCCACCAAAAACACAACATAATGGTTTTCTACGAAAGTAATCTATCCTAATCAGTGGACACAGCCAGGGCGTGAAGAAAAATAGTACAGAAACGAAGGAGCCTAAGTTATTGAAGAGGAACAAAAACAAAACAAACAAACAGTCAATCAATAAACAAGACTGACCTGAAAGTGATTTGTGCGACTCATCTGAACTGCAATGGCGCCTGGCCCTGGATGTGACATGAGACCTCCCCGTTAGGCTCAGGCCAACCCCTAACCTGGTCCTACACATACACTCATGCCATGTCTAACTTAGTGACACGGGGGCATGCAATGCGAGAACCTCACAGGTAGCCGAGACCAGTCATTTTTGTTATACTCGAAGGCAAGGGGCCCGATATAAGGTTGTCGTTGGCACGGCTGAGGTGATGGGAACAACAGGGCATGGAGCAAACCTGGGCATGAAAAGAAGAACATAATTCGAGTAAAGAATGGTGATGCATTACTTGAATGGATGGATATGGATGGATGGATGGATGGATGGGTGGATGGCTGGATGGATGGATGGATGGATGGATGGATGGATGGATGGATGGATGGATGGATGGATGGATGGATGGATGGATGGATGGATGGATGGATGGATGGATGGATGGATGGATGGATGGATGGATGGATGGATGGATGGATGGATGGATGGATGGATGGATGGATGGATGGATGGATGGATGGATGGATGGATGGATGGATGGATGGATGGATGGATGGATGGATGGATGGATGGATGGATGGATGGATGGATGGATGGATGGATGGATGGATGGATGGATGGATGGATGGATGGATGGATGAGATATGGATGGCGTGCGAAGCAGAAGGAACAAAAGGGGTGACTGAGTTCCACATGTCTCCCAAGCGACGACCGGGGCAAGAGGGCGAGCACAACAAGCAAGGCCACAGAGAGGGTCACGACTCGTGTGTGGAGGAGATGGGGGAATTTAAGAGGAGGCAAAGAGGGTGAGGGTATGAGAAGAAGAACCCACAAATCCGCTAGTTGGGAGACACTTCCTAGCGCGTCTGGCAGAGGTCCCGAAATCTGGTTTTTCTGAATGTCGCTGATGGAGGGACGACGAGGGTTTCAGAAAGGAATGACATTGTTTCGGACAAGTCTTGCATGAGTGTCATAACGAAGGCCATGGAAGCAAGCAATGCATAGACTGACATGAGCAACGAATTGTAAACATGTGCAAAGAGTCCATGGCGAATTGGCATGTCCATGAAAGATTGGAACGAGCCGCCACGGGCTGAACCGGCTCGAATACCTGCTCAGCAGCAGTATCTGCTGCGTTCATGTGTTCGACACACACGAGCTTTTTCACAGTGAAAACAACAGAGTAATATCAGGAAACTACATAGAAGAGTACCAAAAGAAAGTACTGGTGGGTTTTGGCCTAGCCTGGTGCTTGTTGTCATCACCAAGCAGTGCCTGGCCCAGGCCAGACGCACCTGGCACAGGGCCAAGATGGGTCAACGGCTGGGTCGGGTCAAGGCTGGTCCTTCAAAACGAAGTAACAAGGCTGGCCCTGGGCCAAGTTGCCAGCAGCACAGCACGCAGGGCCAGGGGTGAGCATGCCTACATACGGGCCATGCAACTGCAATGCACTTGTACTGCATCAAGCCTATGGCTGGGTTAAGAATGTCAAGGTTAAGAGTGTTAAGATCTTGACTCTCTGCTCAGATGGATGGAGCCAGTGTGTCCTTGCTAGCTTGGCTCGTGCAAGCAGGAAATCATGGTGCTGCCTGCCTTACAGTGAGGTTAGCGCAGTCAATTGGGTGAAGGATGATGGGATTGACCCTTCTAGCCGGTTCTCCTGCACGTGCCTGTCTTAAAGAAACAACGTGTAGCGGCAAGGAAAAGTATCAGGATGTAGGAGGGTCGTTATTTACAAGTGGGCAGTGGACGTTGTGGGTGGGTGGGTTGGGAGGGGGGGCTCATGCAGTGACATACTGCACTTGAATGCCCTAGGATTTTGCTGTTGTGTTGCATGTGAGTATGCTTTCGAGCATCATCAACCAGACTGCGTGGGCTTACAGCTGCGTTCAAGAATGTTTTAATCATATATGGATAGGGAGGGAGAGGCTGAGACAAACAAGGCGAGCCTGGCAAGAAATCGAAACGATAGGATGAGCTTATCGGGAGAAAATATGGTTGGGGGGAGGGAGCTGGAGGCAGTGGGAGGGCGTGCGAGGAGTGAAATTGCTTACAGTTGCACCAAGGCAGTGAGAGCGCCGATGCCCTCAGGCAGGGGCCCTCTGAGGTCGTTCTGATTGGCGTTGCTGTGTGGTGTGGTGGGGCAAGGCATGCAACGTGATGCAAGGGGATGAGGCATGCAAGGGGGTGAGGCATGCAAGATGATGCGGCATGAAAAGGGATGCGATGCAAAGGCATGCAAGGGGTGCAAGCAAGGGATGATGATCTTAGGCGCATGATGATCTTAGGCGCATGATGATCTTAGGCGCATGATGATCTTAGGCGCATGATGATCTTAGGCGCATGATGATCTTAGACGCATGATGATCTTAGGCGCATGATGATCTTAGGCGCATGATGATCTTAGGCGCATGATGATCTTAGGCGCATGATGATCTTAGGCGCATGATGATCTTAGGCGCATAAAGATCTTAGGCGCATGATGATCTTAGGCGCATGATGATCTTAGGCGCATGATGACCTTACCTGCCACAACTTCTTAGGATCCTTTTTTTTTTCCTAGTAGGGAGCTGCGTGCGTGCGTTTTGCAACAACAAGGCCATATTAGCAGTTGGCTGACGAAAGGGGCAGATAACTCACACTACTTTTAAATTAACGAGCTTTGAGAAGGTAGATGGGAGTGAGCCAGATAGAAAGCTGCCGCTTATATATCTGAGTGAAATGGAGGAGGCATGGGGAAAGAGGGTAGAGCAACGGTGAAGAGGGAGAGAGTGAGGAAGGGAGGCAAGGAACGGGAGGGTAATAAGAGTATGTGTGTGTGTGAGGGGGGTGATGGGGCAGCATAAGACGATTCAAGCTACACCAAGGCATGGGTAATCAAGTGCCTTGACTCAAAACGCTAACAGTGAGCTAGACTAGCCTCTTGAGTCGGAAAAAAACGATCAAAGCCAAAAAAAAAAAACAAACAAACAAACAAACAAAAGGGATGGCTCAAGATATCGAGCTAAGCTAGATGAGCCGCGTTGCTGCTATCAATGCTTTGAGCTTCACGCAACCCTTCATTTAACAGGTACCTTTGTTCTTTTCTTTCCACCACATCCAAATATGGCAAACCCGTCTCCATACCAAACATCCCCTTCAAATTAGCACTCCCCTTTGTGCAGAAATTATGACTTCTTTCATACCGTCTCCCTCTTTTTGCTATCATTCTAGTTGTTAGTATTGCTGACCTATGTGTGTAACATCACACTAGTAAACACACCTCAGCCCAGCCCACATCACTCACACTAAGACCCTTTTCCCACTCCCATCCCCCCTGCGTAGGCCACCGCTCTGCCCTTGAAATGCCAGAGGTGAGACAAAGCAGAACAAGTCAGAAGCAGAGCAATACAAGAACTAAGCTCGAGTCGGCACCTCTGAATCGAGAACAAATGCCAAAGTAAGCGGTTAGGGGACAATTTTTTATGTTTACTCGACTCGACTTAACATCGCCTCAACTCTACAGGTTGTCAACTCAACACCGATTGACCTGATTTCACTCAAATCATCTCGTGCCCAAGTCAGAGAGAGGGGCAGGAAATGAGACGGAGGGATAGTAAAAGAGTGCATACAAGTATTGAAGGGTGTTGAGGACGCCAATTGTCTCTGGTAGGGCGCCGGATAAATATGTCTCTGATAAGTCTCTGACCCACACAGTGCAAGCATCCACAAGTAGGGGAAGACCAGAGTGCGGGGCTGTGGGATAGAAGGTGCTGAATTGCTGAAACAGGCAGGTATAGCATCGACCAGCCAAATCATGACTGTGCACGGTGAACCGATCCAGTTTACATGGCTTGGAATGAGCACCTCATGCCAAGAACACCTGTCAAGGGCACCCCATGGAACGCCACGCTAGAAGACCACGGGGTCAAGACGCGGGTTATGCAGATGCGCGGCAGATGCCTTTCAACCATCATGTGGCCCTCCAGACGTTACACATGATGCCGCGAACGCCGCATGCAGCGAGCGCCTTATGATTCAGGCGTCCCCCACACTCACATCGTTGTCACGAAGCCAAGAGCGTTGCAGTAGATGCTGAAAAACTGCGCGCAGTCAGCATTCTTCACCCAGGTGTTGGTGATGCCCGGTATCACACTGCCCCACTGCGCCTTCATGTCTCGCACTGCCGGCCCTGTGCAACGCAGCAATGGGGTGCAGAGGGAGGAGCAGCACGAGGTGAGGCGCAGTGCGGCAACAGCCCGGGGTAAGCACAGCAATGGGGGCAGCAATGGGGGCAGCAATGGGGGCAGCAATGGGGGCAGCAATGGGGGCAGACATGGGGTCAGCAATGGGGGCAGACATGGGGGTTCAGCAAAGAGAGGGGCAGTGAGATGCGAGGGACGAGGGACGAGGGGCGCTTGTGCTGCAATTCCATGGGACGACGGAAGAGGTTGCCTTGGGCACAGTTCAGCGAGCGCGCGCGCACACACACAATAGCACACTCACACGCATGCCGCGTACGCACTCTCACACACTCGAACAATCGCACGCTCACACTGGCTGGTGTCGATAATAGCAGCGTACGCCACGCATTCCTTCGCATGCGTGCGCACACGCACTTTCCCACACTCCCGCAACCGCACGCTCACACTGGGTGGGGTGAAGGGGAGCAGCGTGTGCCATCATGATGGGGGGGAAGCCACGGCTGCCGCCGCTGCTGCGCCAGAAGCAGCGCTGCGCCCAACCGCCCTTCGTGAGGCCCTCGTCGCTCCCCACCATCGCCAGCACCGCCACCACGCCCATCACCGCCAGTCGCCCAGCCACCCCCGCGCCACCGCTCTTACCCATCGCCCCTCGCCTCAAATTCCCTTCCTCAACTCCTCCCGCCGCTTTCAACGGCCTCCTCGCCCTCCCCATGGCACAGAATGGCCGCGCCACTCGCACCAGCGCTCGCCCACTGCAGGTGGCGGCGCCAGCACTGGTGCGACACCGGCGGTGGATTCAGAGGGGCCTTTCGCTGGGTGATCCCTGCCAAGCGAGAGGCAAGGAGAAAGGTGAGAGGAGGGCAGTCGTTGAGGAGCGCCGCACCTCATCCCTGACTGATCAGGCCTGCCGCGCACCTGCTGCTGCTCTGAGACGATGGGAAGCATCTTCTGTTGCGCCGCGCGCGGCATTACCTCGTAAGGGGGAGAGGGGAGGGGAGCTCTCCAGGCCACGTTCCGACAGTTAGACTGTGACACCGAGAATGCACGTCGCCGCAGTGCCGCTCAGGCACCAAAGTGATACCGCTCGTGCAACCCTAGACCAAACAAAGGGCCACTATTCTGTGATGAATCTCAGCAACAACAAATGCACCGAGCTTCCTGCGTCTCTGGGGCTCTTCGACTCCGAAGCTTCAGCGGCGGCACGCCTTATGCTACATCTTGGCCGCCCTCCGCCCCCTTCCCACAAAAGTGGACAAAGTGTGAGTTTAACCGCCGGCGGATAGAAGTCATCCCAAAAAAACGAGCTTTTGAAAGTTACGGCAAAGCAAGTTTGCGGTAGCTTTGTGGTTGGTTTGGAATGGGGTACCTTGGGGTTGCTGGCAAGGTTACATCGAAGCTGCTTCTGGGCTCGCGACGCATCGGGGAAAAAATGACGACAAATCTGTGCCGCACATCTAAAAAAACTGAAAGCTACTTCAGCGTAACTCTGGTTATGATTTCGCTTCGACAACACACGGAAATAAAAGGGCGCGTGTCTTTTGGTTTTTACATGCAAATCTCGAATTTTTTGTTGAACTGTAGTCATATGAACCTAGCTCGAGCTAGGCTCGAGTTTTCACCAACTGCAAACCGAGCCGCGGTTCCACCCCTCCCGAAAATCACGCGACAAACAAAAGTTCAACTATCGAAGTTGAACTTTTGCAGCCCAGCCGAGCCGCGACCTACGCTTGTAGGTTACCCGGTTTGGGCTCTTGACATCGCGCCACCGGGACTCGCGCTGACGAGCACCCTCGTGCGCACGATGCTAGCTGCGAGCGTCGCAGACTTCGCATCGTCGCTGTCAGTGATGAGGTGGACACACGCTCGCACATTCGTGCCAACCTGTTTGTTGATGAGGGTTCAACTTGGGGGCTCAACATTTTCCGATGCCGGAAGTGTACGTGGACACACGACGTCCTGGCGAATAATTTGACGAAATTCACGAATAGAGTAACCAGCAAAAGTTCAACCGAAAATCCGAACATCTACACCAAAAGACACGCGCCCTAATACAGCCGCACATCTCAGCAATTTGAAAGCTACTTCAGCGTAGCTATGAATATGAGTTCAACCTTCCGAAACACGTGTCTTGCGCTTATCCCCCCCTGTGCGATGGAGCAGAAAGCCGTAAGCCAATCGGAATCGCCGACACCAATAGACCCCATTGGCCGATTTTGCAACACGTCATCAAACCACACAATCGCGTAGATATGAAACGAATAAGGTAACAACACTTCTTTAGCTGCTGACGAAATGGAAGCGTTACTGGTTACTAATCATGTTTCAAGATTAGTTGACTTTCTTCTTAAAGATAACATTAAACAGAGAAATACAATCTCGTACCCGTAACAGGGTAACAATGTTCTGGTTACCGGTACACGACCGGACATGTAATGCATCAAAATGTGGGCTATATAATTTTCCCGGACAGCTCATTATATTAACCATGACACTAATAATTATAATTGCATTTGCTTCAAAATCAATGCACAATTACATACAAGCATGCAAGAAAACCGTAGTGTTACATCCAGCTAGAACAACACCTAGGGTGAGTAGAGAACTTTAAGTGCCCTGTACAATAAGACCAATAGCCGTTAGAAAACAAAAAGTGCTGAACGAAGAGTTCACTTACAACTTTAGACCTTTCAAACTCTGAATGAATAACAAGCTGAATGAATAACAAGCGACCTGCAAAACAATACCAAGGAAACAAAACAAACGCCGAACCAATCTTCACTAATCGACTGGCGTGAGTCACAGGGGAAGCGGGTAACGATGAACTCACCGCGAACCTTGGCAAAATGTCCTTCTCGATCGCACGTAGGTCCGTGAGGCTTGCAGACGACCTGCAAAAATGCAAAAAAAAAAGGAAAAAAAAAACGTTCAGAACACGTGGACACGGGAAACGATCAAACCGATAATCGTGTCACCTAACCATGCATAGGTAGAAAACAACAAAAAAAGGAACATGCACAGCTGGAAAGTGGAAATACCTGTTAATATGCATGCTTGCGCACCACTTGACTGTCGCGCAGCATCCGTTCAGCGCATGACCCGTGCCAGTTGCGCGCGCATAAGTTTTGATACAGACACGCGTCGGAGCGGAATATATACGCGCGTTTGGGGAGCAGGCCGAAGGATGCGCGCAGCTCCTGCACATTGAGAAACGAGCAGAGAGAGAAATGGTGAGCGCGGAAGCGAGGAGAAAGATAAAATGAGTGCGGAAGCGCGCAGAAGAAAAATGAGAGCTCTGAACGGTAGCATCGTTGCTCTCGGGAATACCTGCGAAAATACCTGCGAAAAGGGTGAAGTGGCACTAATGAAGTCGACGGTACGAGAGAATATGACGCGGGGACGCAGGGTAGACTACAATCGCTAAGGAGTGGAGCAGACACACCCACAGAGCACTAACAATCGACTGGCACTCAGCCGATAAGAACAGGCACGCAGTGGAGAATGAAGAAGGTGGGTTGGGGGGGGGGGGGGGGGGGGGGGGGTTCTGGGGCTTTGAGTCTGGGGAAGGGGGGAGCGAGGGGAAGTGGAGTTGGCTGCGGGTAGGCAAGAAAAGAAAAAATCGACGAGAAAACTAAGGCTAGAGGTGTAGCACTTGACACACCCACCAGGGGACGGGCAGCATAGTGAAAAGTTCAAACGAAATGTGCAAACCACCACCACTGTCGCCAGCACATCACGCGAACCAGTAGGGTGTGAGCATTTCTGGTGAAACTGCACCAGCGCATCAAGCGAACCTGTTGGATGTGGGCGTTTTTGGTGAGCTGTGGCAACCGTAAGCACGCGTGGAAAGAAATGTGCTGGCGCACATGATTCAGAACAACTCCATTCGCTGGAAGCATTTGGGTGGAATCGCGCTGGAATCCAGATGTGCGTTGGCGATGTCGGTGAACCATAAAGCACCTGGTAAGTGCCAGCTCGACAAATTTGGTTCTTCCAGCGTTGCTATTGAGTTGTAAGACGTTCACATGGTACACAGTTATTCAAACAAAACTCTACCCGTTTACAGCACTCTTTAGATCTGTGTCTCTTTCTGGAAAAAAAAGGTCCAAAAACACACAAATAGTCGCAAATAAATACAATTGCGGACCCTTCGCACCAAACAGCAGAATCAGTGTGGGGTTCATGACTTTTTTGTATCTGTATCCTCAAATATACATATCCTTTATACTAAAATATGGGAATTTTTCTTGATGTATATGTTTTATCTCTAGGCGTTATAAGCATTTATTGTTGCATAATATGCTAATAATGCATGTGCATGCGTACATAGATCCTTATAATAAATATTTGCATACATTATCGTGTACATCTTATCTCTAGCCGTTATAAGCATATATTGTTGCATAATATGCAAAAAAATACATGTGCATGTGTACATTACCGTATAATATATATTTGATGACTTCCTATACATCATCATCGTCATATATTTGCATAGTACGTCCAATTACCCTTCCATATGAATTGTTTTCAGCTCGTTCGCACAACTACACAGCACGTCACGCTTGTTTGTGCGTTTTCCGGTCCGAATCTGTGCAAGGATAGGCCTGTGCGCAACATGTCGTTGTTTCAACGTTTCTGCAATATTGTTAGCACTACTTCTTCACAAATTCAGGTAGTACATCCTATTTTCTTCCCATAGAAACTGGTTTCAGTTCGTTCGCCCACATATGCTGTCAAAACATATGCATATTAGTATCTAGGCTATATTGGGGCTAGCCTTAGAGGGTACAGAAACATTCTCGACACTCTAGTCTTGTACCCCAACCTTGACCTAACCTCGCACAACTTCATGCCTAAGATTCTAAGATGGTATCTAGAGCCTAGAGGTCTCTAGGACCTAAGATAAGGGCCCACCGTTACCACGTTACCTCACCTGCCTTGCCTGCTGCCCGCGCGCGCCTCGGCTGCACGCGCGCGGCCCTTTTTTTTTTTTCCCGCGCGCGCCGCTTGAGCAGCCCGCGCGCTTCTCGTTTAGGCCCGTTTAGGCCCGTTTTTTCGGCCCCGCGCGCCACGTCAGCCGCCCGCGCAGCCTGCCGCCGGCCCGCGCGTCGCGTACTCCGCCCGTGCGCAGCCTGATCTGGCCTCGCGCGGCACTTAGCGCGGCTCCCTAGCCGCTCGTCGACCGCCGCGCGCCGCCACCGCGTCCCCTTCGGCCGCCGCCTGTGGCTCTTTCGCCACCTTTCGCCAGGCAATCGCGCAGCCCGTACAGGCCACGTCAGGCCCGCGCGCGGCCGGAACAGCCCACGCCAGGCCTGTCAGAATGCACAGGCAGGAATGAGTGAACTAGCAGCATGCAGGAGTACAAGTAGTAAACCCTAATTTGGGTTGTACCCCATATGGGCTACCCCACTACAGCCTAGACAGTATGCAGCACATATGTTTGACACACCCCCATAGGCAAAGTGGGGGAGAACAAGGGGTCACAAGACCAGTCAGGGCAAAGCAAGGCAAAACAGGCTCAGGGTGGATCTCGAGGATTCCACACAAATTCCGAGCACAAGCAAGCGGTCACAAGACCAGTTCACATGCAGGTTTATAACAGAGCAAGAGATACAGTGATCACAACCTAGCAAGAGTAAACATGCAGGTATATATATATATAGAGATCACAGTACAAACAAAGTCAAGAAGTGAGCAAGTGAGGTCCAGTAGGCACAAGGCCCAAAAGAGTACAAAAGCGCTGATGGTCACAAGGCTGGAGCGCCTTGGTGAACACATCAGCAGTGTTGGCCTCAGTGGCCACGTAACGCAGACAAAGCTGACCACGCTGCTGTAGCTCTCTAGCCAGGAAGTACCGCAGGGCGATGTGCTTCGTTCGGTGCTCCAGTCTGTGCTCCTCACACAAGGCAATGGCAGCCTTGTTGTCGACGTACAGCACTGGAGGAGAACGAGGCCTCTCTCCCAAGTCGGTCAGCAGGTAGGTCAGCCAGCGAAGCTCCTGGGCCGCCATGGCTGTGGCGTAGATCTCAGCCTCACAACTGGAGCTGAGAACAGACGAAGAGCGTGTGGAACGCCAAGAAACTGAGCCAGAGCCAAGGCTGAAGGTGTAACCCTGAGACGACCGTTGAGTAGCCTGGTCATCCGCCCAAGAAGCGTCTGAGTGTCCAGTGAGCACAACTCGGTCTCGCCCTCCAAGCACTAGCCCCATGCCCGACGTACTGCACAAGTAGCGCAACACCCTCTTAGCGGCATCCATGTGCTCCTTCCTGTGACGGCCAGGAGCGACATAGCGTGCAAGGATGCTAAGAGGGTATGCAAGGTCAGGTCGAGTGCAGGTCATCAGGTACATGAGACAGCCCACAAGCTCTGGATACGGGCCACTCGGCTCTACGGACTCATCCGAAGGCAGAGCTGAGAGCGAGTGACCGGTAGGCAGAGGAGTGGACTGAGGCGAGGAGTACGTGAAGCGGAAGCGCTGGAGAACCTGCTGCACCATGTGTGACTGAGTCAGGGTGATGGTGCGCCGTGCTCTGTCCCGGGTGATCCGCAAGCCAAGATAGCTTGTCAGCTCACCCAGGTCTGTGCACGTGTGTCTCCTCTGCAGCTCCGACTTCACGTAGGCGAGTCCTGCAGTGTCAGCAGTGGCAAAGACCAAGTCGTCGACGTACACGAGGATGTAGAACGGCGGCAGCGAGGTGTCGGTGCGTAGAAACAGCGACGGGTCAGCAGTAGAAGGCGCGAACCCAAGAGCCGCAAGTGTAGTCCTCAGTGTGTCGTGCCACTCACGTGGAGCCTGGCGGAGACCGTAGACCGGCCGCTGAAGCCTCCACTGGGTACCAGGAGGAAACGACCCAGTGAAGCCAGGGGGGCGGCGCAGCCAGATCTCCTCGTGCAGGCTGCCCTGCAAGAAAGCAGTGCTGAAGTCAAGTGAGTGAAGCTCGTAGTCGCAGTGAGCGGCTATGTGCAGCAGCACCCGAAGAGTAGTCATCTTCGGGGTGGGGGAGAAGGTCTGAAAGAAGTCTACTCCCTCTCGCTGACTGAAGCCTCGAGCCACGTAACGCGCCTTGAAGACAGGCGGAGAACCCGGCGGCCGCTTCACCCTGAAAATCCACATGCCACTGACGATGTTCGCCCCAGGTGGGGGAACCTCGTCGACGTAGGTGCGTGTGGACTTCCAGGAAGCCATCTCTGCGTCCATGGCTGTCTGCCACTGAGAGGAGTAGGGACCCGCCATCGCCTCAGCGTAAGTGCGCGGGGTCGGGATGTCTGGTGCATCCGGGTCTCCCTCAGGGGCAACTAGCATGGACACGAGGTGGGGCAAAGCAGCAGCAAAGCACTGGAACTCCTCCTGTCTGTCCTCAAGGACGTCCGTGCCAAGAGCACACTCACCCCCGACGGACGGAGGACAGGCAGACTCAGACTCAGACTCAGCAACAAGGCTAGCAGCGTAGTCTAGGCGACAGCGAGCAGCAAAGTCAACCAACTCAGCGACCAGAGCAGACGCAGCGGCGGACTTAAATGTAGGGTCAGTGACAACTGTGGCGAGAAGACGCGTGACAGTGGGACTGGCAGCACGACGGGAGTCAGACTCCGGGTCAGGAAGAGTAGGTAGAGAGGACGCAGGAGGAGACGGCAGAGGGACACGCTGAGGAGCAGTGGAGGGACGCAGAGTCATGTAATGAGTGCCAGGGACAGGAGGAGGACGCTCACGTGGGACACGACGACCAGTGCGAGCAGTACGAACAGGCGACGCAGGACGAGACGCAGGCTCACGACGCTCTGAAAGGCCTCCGGTGGGACCAGTGTAAGGAGAGGGACGAGGAAGAGGCGAGGCAGGCGGTAACTGTGACTGCGACTGGACAGGCGGAGGACACTCTACGGAGGGAGGAGGACAAGGAGAAGGAGCCTGACCAAGAACCTGCTGAAGGAGCGGAACGAAGTACGGTCGCGGCCGCGCAGCGTCTCCAGAACCAGCAGAGACACCAGCGGCAGGGTCCTCAGTACCAGCAGCAGCTCCAACTCCCGGGTCCTCAGCTCCAGCAGTAGCTCCAACGCCCGGGTCCTCAGCACCAGCAGCAGCGCCACCGCTCGGCTCCGCAGCACCAGTAGCAGCTCCACCGTCCGGGTCCTCAGCTCCAGCAGTAGCTCCAACGCCCGGGTCCTCAGCACCAGCAGCAGCCCCAACGCCCGGGTCCTCAGCACCAGCAGCAGCGCCACCGCTCGGGTCCTCAGCACCAGCAGCAGCGCCACCGCTCGGGTCCTCAGCACCAGCAGCAGCTCCACCACTCGAGTCCTCAGCACCAGCAGCAGCGCCACCGCTCGGGTCCTCAGCACCAGCAGCAGCTCCAAAGCCCGGGTCCTCAGCACCAGCAGCAGTGCCACCCCCAGGGTCCGCAGCACCCGGAGCACCACTCCGAAGACTGCAGCGTCGCGTGTACCACTCTCGGATCTGCTGAATGGGGGGGAGCTCCTGGGTAGGAGGGGAAGTACCGGGACGAGCTCCAGCAGCACCTCTCCGGAGGCGGCAGTACTCGAGGTACCTCTCCTGCAGCTGCTGGGAGGAGAGGGCTCCTCCAGGTGTAGCACGCTCAGTCTCAGTACCCCCAGACTCCGCACCCCCAGGCTCAGCACCTCCAGGCTCCACACCTCCAGGGTCCGCACCTCCAGGCTCAACACCCCCAGGCTCCGCACCTCCAGGCTCAACACCCCCAGGCTCAGCACCCCCAGACTCAGCACCCCCAGGCTCAGCACCCCTAG